CCGATTTCTTAACTGTTTAGTTTTAAAGTACTATCTATTGGGGGAAGGGAAGGGAAGGGGGGTTAGTGTGAGTACGTGGAATTGTTTAGTGAGGAAAGATGGGGGGAAGGAGGAGAGGAAGCTGTATGGGATGGGATGGGATGGGATGTGAAGAAGTGAAAGGATGTGAATGTGAAGGATGATAAATTTATGGAAAGCGGATATGGACAGTGGGGGAGAAGAGTGTGATATGTTGTGATGTGAAAGAATGGAATAAAGTTACCGGGATACAGTATGGGATGCGTGCGCAGCGCTGGAGAGTGGTTATAATTAGTTATGTAGTTGGTTTGGAATTGGAATTGGGAGACGACGATGGAGTTTGTGGATCGAGTTCCTGGGTTTTAAAGGGTTTGTTGGGTGGGTTAGGGGGAGGGGATTGAAGATTGAGAATTGAGGGGAGGGGAGAAGATATACTAACCTGCATTCATAATGACGAACGAGATGGCTGAAGATAATTGGATGTTGTTGAAGTCAGTAACGGTTTTCTAGAATGAATCGATCGATTCGAAGGATATGAGATAAAAAAAACAAAACATTATTTTTGGCAACCCTGCTGATCCAAATACGTTCTAGGTATACAGAATATATGATATACAAAGGTATTGATTGGCTCTATTTAAGTTTTTTGTCTTTTTGCGTCTATATTTGCAATTATAATAGTACTTGCACTTACAAGTTATTTAGATAGACAATCTACATAAGAAAGACTTCGATATAAAGTATATGAACCCTACTGAATAGATCTTTTATTATCAATTTTTTGCTCTTCTTTTCTATATTATCATATTCTTTTGTATATTCTATACATTCTGATCACTCTAATCACTCCTCTAATCATCCCTCTCTTCTATTTCCCTTCATTTCACTTCGGCTCCCTTTTTAGTCTCTCCTTTTCCCCCTCTCCTATAATCAAATCAAAATCAAAATCAAAATCAAACCACCCCAAACGCCAAACCCATCCCCTCGCCCCAAAAAAATGAAGAATATATCCAATCCCCAAACCACCTACCATCTATTCTTCATCCTCTATTCTCTATCACAAAGCGATCCTACAACTCTCTAACTTGTGGTTGTTGTGTTGGTTTTGTTGGTCCTATTGGTGTGTGTTCTGTGCGGTGCATTTGGAGTTTGGAGTTTAGGTTGAATTTTCTTAGGGGTGGGAATGAACTCATTGGAAATAGGAAAGGATTTTTGGAGGGATTGTAGAAGGGATTGTAGGAGATATTATAAAAAGGAGCTAGGCGATGGTGATGATGATGGTGATGGTGATATTGGTATTGGGGAAACTGGGGAGATTAGGCATAGGGGTGGGTGTGGATGTGTATGTAGGAATGGAAATGGAATTGGAAATAGATATTGATATCTAAAAATAATATTCTCGTTTGTGACTATTTGGATGAGCGGATGAGCGGATATTTATTGATTTGGATGAAGGTGGATGGATAGAAAGATGTATGGATGGTGTTTTCAAGCAGGATTCCAAGAGAAGAAGATGCATATATGAGTCTACTTTTTGTTGAAAATGATTATAGATAAGTTCATTCCTGATCTATGGTTAGGGATTTCCTGGATCTCTAGAGAGAGAAGTTTATTTGAAGAGGGAAGAGAAGGAGAAGGAAGGAGAAGAGAAAAGTCATAGATGAGATAGATGGAGTGAAGTCAAGTGAGTCTTGTGGGGTAAATCTTGTAGGAATAGATGAGTAGAGTGAAGAAGGATCGTTGGAGGTAGCTTGGATAATGTTGCTGTTGGTGATGATTTGGTTTGTTTTAAGATCAATTGTATAAGAATAAAGGGTGGATGAGAGGGGGGAAAGGAGAACTTGGCGGGAAGGTTTGAAAGAAGTATTTGAAATTGACGGTGGTCTAGGACTCAGAGTAAAATATTGAGATATTGATAGAGCATCTAGTAATCCAGACTGCAATTCAACACTACCAAATTCTTAATTCATGAATAAATTTCAAATGTTTATCTCAATTTAGAATATTGAATATAAAAAAAATACTGAAAATTATTTCAGATAATAAAAATGATTAAAAATGATTTTCAGAGATTAAAAATATTTCGAATATTGGAATTTCTTTGATCGGATTATAGTCCAGACTATGAAATACCCTGGATATTAAAAATCGATGTATAATTTCAAAATCGTGGGGAAGTTGAGGTTCCTAAGTTTTAATGGGGTTTCTTCACCGTTGGACGGGTCTAGGAGGTAAGAAAAGGTTAAGCTTACTCCGCACGGGTCTTAGAGGGGATAGGTTGGAGAGGGGGGGGGGCTAAGGGTTAAACTTATTCTCAGACAGGCCTTGGAACCGAGGGTGAGAGTTGTGTTTGTGTTTATGTTTGATTTGAGTACTGTAGTTGGAATTATAGATAGCTATACATCGATCACATTTGGAATATATGAGTAGAGAGTGAAACTAAACGCTGCCTTGAGACTTCGTTGCAGGTGTGTACTCGGTATACAAGTCGAGTGTAAATATAGTAGACTTCAAAGAAAGGAGATTCGAGACTCATCACATTTCTTGTCCTTCTTCGAACTGAAAAATGATGGGAATCAGGACAAACCGAGAGGAAAGAAACAGCAGAAAGCAGAGAATGAGATGAGTATTCACACCTCTGTACTGGACTTACCGTTATATGGATACGGTTTTCTTCACAAAATGGCTATATATCCATGAGTAAGAAATGAAGAGAATTAGATCAGATCTACAAAATCATCAGAACGAATGTAATGATAAATAATTAGAATCAAAACCAAAAGGCAGGGTTAGAACTTCACCATTATTACATTACGATCGATACTTTCGTAGTTGAATCTTCTTTATGTTTTTTACCGACTTCATTGTCTCTCGTTGATATACAATAATGCCAATTTTAACCACACAACCAGAATCAAAACCTCGTGATTTGATATATGTTAAGATATACAGGCTCGCTGTATTTGTAAACTTTTGTGAGGCGCGAGATGCTTGTGGGATGACAAAGATGGGATGGGTACGCGACATGACAGCTGTCTAGTCGGATCGATGTGCCGTTTTGATGCGTGGGGAACGAATGAGATGGAGGGAGGTTGGAGGTTGGGTATTAGTTGTTGAAGTTGGGAATGGGCTGCATACGGTACTGGGTATTAAGGTGGCAATTGAAAAGGGGATGTTTGCCGACGATAGGATGGATGGCATAAGTGTGTATATGGGAGATATAGGTAACATTGTAGATAATAACGGCCAGGATATCAGGACCGTAATTTATATCTTGCTACCAATGAGAAGAGAACAGAAAGAAAAGTAGTCACAGGCATACCGGCCATTGATTCCGAAGAGTTACGACCGACGTACGGAGCTCACCGGGAGTGTTGTCACGGGAGTAGATTGGAATTCTTGATGAGAAATCTCCAAGTAAAGAAGTAATGGTACAAATGAAACTTTTTGATAGAAGATTGGGAATTTAATTCCGAGCTCCAGGACAGAGTTGGAATGTTTGTGAGTTCAATTTTAATAAAGTGCCTACAGCTTAGAGCCATCGGCCTGTACAAGGACATGAGCCCTAATTTTGGATCTTTCGAATATTGCCGACCAGGAGCACAATGCTAAGCGCAAAGTCAATCTTGCATGGGCAAGGAATTCAACAGTGAAGAAACCAGTTGGCATCCATTTTGATGGAAAGGGGTCGTCGAGTACATTTTTGACAATGTGTTTCTCTAGAATAGTTTCCCACAAGTACTGATCATAAGCCGCCCTTACAGCGGCTGTAATGAGCGAAGTAACCACGTAGGTAAAGACGGTACCCACTCGGATAGCCCATCGTTGTCGGGAGGGTGACTCAGTAATGGACGCATTCAGAGAAATGGTAGTGTGAATGATGCCCGATAGCAAAAGCACGACCTACCACCGTGAAAGCTCCCATAAACCAGAGAGGTTGCCATGCGATTTTCCATTTTACATAACGGTTTGAGGTAACGACCTCACGGGCACTCGGCGAATAGGAGGGCATGTCAACATTGAGAGAGGGAGTTCGCTGTAAGATCTGGCTGTAGATCGAGCTCTGTCTACGATACCAAATGGGAATCACATCCCGAGCGTGTGCTCCTGGCTTGTGTTCCTGAATTTGAGCTAGGCTGGGTGTCACTGCTTGCTATTGTGTGCCCAGTATTTTGAATCGTCCTGTGGATACAAAAATTCAAACGATGTACAGATATGGAGTGATCGATTCGAATTTGAACGTTGAAATCTTTGGCAAATAAATCTTGCGATTAAAACGAGATGCTAAGTTCAAATACAAATATTGAATTGGTAGTTCCCAATTTGTACGGTATAGAAAGCTTCGACTGGCATAGACCGAACGACAAGTCTTGATAGAATGGTTTTAGAATACGAAATGAAGAGAAGTCACTCAACTTCGCCGAAATGATCGAATTAGGGAAATCTCTCTTGTAATGAATTTGTCTGAGGAGAGACTTCGCCCCATGCCAAATATTGAGGAATCTACCTTAGAAAGCATTGTATAACGCAGTATGCAAGCATCAACAAAAAACAGTTCAATCACCTACAATGCAGCACCTCCTTTCGAGAGGCTGCAATATGTGTTAAAAGGTAGATTGATGGTCGTGCACGTAGGAAACCTGGAGGCTACCAGTCATCGGCGGAATATACGGGGGAGTTTGTGTTATATTCAAAAGATCAAGGCCTCATTGAACATTGAAACCTCCAGAACAAAAGATACAACATGGTCTTGTCGAGCCATGTGTATACCAAATATGAATCAAAGGGATTGGAGAGCATGTTTTTGAGGGGTGAACATTGATGGGGAGGTGGAGGTACGCCCCAATATTATTTTCAAAAAGGATCAGGTGATCGAGAAATTCGCTTACTAGCGCCGCACACCAAAGTCAATTTTGAGACCAATCTCCTGAGAAATTCTCACCAAAGACAATCGACAAACACGGCACTCTTTCAACGACAAGATGCCTACCCATTTGAGCAAAACCCGCAAGCAGTACGTTCCATTCCTCGAGATCGCAGTTTCTATCGATGAAAACAAACCGATTGAGCGCGCGCGCCCAGATCAAATCCCCACGAACTTGTTATTGATGGTATATTGGAGGATGGGGAATAATTGAAGCTAACAAGATCTTTTTCTGTATAGCCGCGGTCATGTTTCCGCCGGTAAAGGTCGTGTAGGAAAGCACCGCAAGCATCCCGGTGGACGTGGTCTTGCTGGTGGTCAACATCACCACAGAACCAACATGGATAAGTACCATCCAGGTTACTTCGGAAAGGTCGGTATGAGATACTTCCACAAGCAAAACAACCACTTCTGGAAGCCAGTCATCAACCTCGACAAGGTACGTTCAAATTTAATACAACTGTTTGAAAAGCGGAGACATTGAGAGGAATATGGAGTCAGGATTCGGTATTGGAAGATAGTTGCTAATATTTTCTACAGCTTTGGTCCCTCGTCCCAGTTGAGAAGCGTGATGAATACCTCTCCGGTGCCCAGACAGACACCGTCCCCGTTCTCGATCTCCTCCCACTCGGCTACTCGAAAGTTCTCGGCAAGGGTAGAATCCCAGAAGTTCCATTGGTTGTGCGCGCAAGATGGTTCAGCAAAGAGGCAGAGAGAAAGATTACAGAGGCTGGAGGTGTTGTTGAGTTGGTTGCATAATTGGGAAAATTCATAACGAATGAATTATAGGCTTTTCTCAAATACCATGAATGGCTGCTACAACGGCTATGGGAGTTCTTTATGAAAATGAAAGGAATCATGAAACCATCTCTCCATTGTCTGTGAATTAAATTTCATTATTGTGGTTATGTGATAGAATCTCGAGAGCTGGCATGCAAGATCTCCACGGCCACACAACACTAAAATATATACAATGAATACTTCTAATACACTCTCTGCCATACGCCACACAAGACCAAATGCGCCAACACTCCATTCATTGCGCTGGAACCATACTCAACTCGTCCTCATCATAATCTTCATCATCTTCCGACTTCTCCAGAAGGAATGGATGATTCAGGGCATCTTCCGCACTGATTCGTTTGTGCGGATTAAGTTCTAAGCACCGCTCTAGAAACTCAACAGCCAACTTCTCTTCCGTAGTCAACGGCTGTTCCGCCCCATCTGGCCCTCCATCATTCCTACATGTTGACCATAAGATGATTTTCTCGAGCGCAAATCCAGCCTGACCAATAGTAGGAATATTTGTTTCGAAAACCGTCCCGTGAAGATATGCACAATTTTTCATCCTTTTGACTCCAAATATGGTGGCAATTTCAATCATTGCCTCAACATCATCAGCCGAATTGAAGAATGGGAACCGTCTCGACAGTATGGTCAAGAGTATTACCCCAGCAGACCAAATATCGATCTTTGTCCTTTGCTCTTGACACTTGAAAAGAACTTCAGGGGCCCGAAATCCACGAGTTCCCGCACGATTTGCACGCCTCGATGGTCGACTGTCGAGTTTTGGATAGCCAGCCGAGGGCATGTTTTGTATGGCTACACTATTCTCCAGCTTCCTTTTGCGCACGTCATGGTCTCTCATACACAGACACGATTTTAAATCCTCCTCTTCTCGTTCTGCCAACCCGAAATCCACAAGCACACCTCTTTTCTTATCCGGCTCGTAGAGAAAGTTTGTCGGTTTTATGTCTCGATGAAGAATGCCTTGGGCATGAACGGCTTTCAGAGCGGTGAATAATGACCGGAAATATACTTGCATATCTGAGACCTTCATCTTCCTAAAGTATTCTCGGAAATCTGTATGTCTGAAATATGGTAATACAGCAACGACTTGATCGTTATGTCGGAAAGCTGTGATGAGTGGGCAGACTGAGTCGCAGCCTCGAAGGTCGTTAAGGAGGTCGAGCTCGTTGAGGATCCGGGTTGGACTGCTTGTAACATAAATCTTTTTTATAGCGACATATTTCCGCCCACGCCGCTGTTGATTGACGTCCAGAGCCTCTTGAATCCCACTAGTTCCCTTTTTCTTCATCGGTGGTGATGTCCACGCAGACTGCTCTTTCTCTTCAATATCCCAATTATTGTTATAATGTTCATACAAGAGATCCTCCGCTTTATAGACAGTAGAAAACGTCCCTATTTCCCTTTAGTAAACATATCACAACGTGAAGGTGCTTTACTTACCTTCTCCAATGCGATTTATCAGCCGAAAACGGTCCTTTATGCCCTTGAAAGTTGCTTCGAAATTGGCAATGTCCTCTGCAGTAGTAGGATCAACAGCATCATCGCTTTCGTCAGAGTCTTCCGAGTACTCTTCATCTTCCAGGCCATCATCATCCTCGGCTCTGGACTCTTCGTTCTCAACACCCTCTTCCTCCATTGATTCTTCCTGATTTATTTCGTCATTGTGAATCTGGAAAGAGTTTCTGGAAATCCCCTGGCGTTGACGTGATGTTTCCATCCTTGCTATACCAAATGGATTGAACACAATTATGATTAGATGAACTTCTTTAAAAACGCATTACTTGTCTAATTCAATTACGAGTATAGTAATTTATTGCTTGTGGTCAGCAGATTTTGGCGGGGTCTTATTACTTACTAGTGTCGCGGTCAAAATCGCGGTGCAGAAGTCTAGACGCTAAACCTCAACTAGTAAAAAGTCAACATCAATAAACACGAACACCCCTAGCAACTATTATCGCAAACTCCACTCGGACAAACAAATAACATAAACGACTTCTGAATACCAACATTCTCGGTTTATGTATTCTACTGCGACGACACTGGATAGGTCGCCATTACCGACAATATGGATACAATAGATTTCGACATCAACGACGCTCTTAAGCATTATATGAGCGACCCCGCGACTGTTGCGACACCAGAGGCACATTCCAACCTAATCGATTGCGAAAACGACCCCGAATCTCTTACAAACGCCTTGGTCAACAGTGTACTTAATCCTATCGTGGATTCTATTGCAGAGAATCCGGATGCTATAACAAGAAGTTCTTCGTTCGATTCCTTGCAATTTTTGCTAAAGTGTGTACCAATTTGTCTTCAATCTACTCAAAATTACCCCACCGAACCAGATTCTGAACTCTTCAAACTCTCTAGATCCTCTTCCGCCTTACCTACACATGCTCTGAGCAAGATATTTGACCTCATCATCTCCGGCCTTTCTGCCGAAGCAGATATCATCCATAATGATCTCGAAACGGACGAACAAGAATTAGTCGCTCATCATAAACATTTATTGGAGATATTTGGGTTCCTTCTACAATGGACAATCGCAGCAGTGGAAACCAAAGCGGCCGAGAAGTCGACGTCTGCCCCGGTGGCTCGTGGAAGAGGCAAGGTCTCAAAGGCTAAAGCAAGTGCAAAAACCGAGAATTGGGATTCATCTGCTCAATTACAAACAGCACTTGACACTATGTGCAAAGTCTTGAAGTTAAAACTTTCAAAGATATTTCTAACAACATCGGAGAGGGATACGTTCATTAGTCTCTTTACGAGACCTGTGTATATGGTATTAGAAAGTGAACAAAGAGTTAAGAACACAGCAATTCGGATGCACGCTTTCAAGGTGCTCTGTATCGCTGTAAAGCATCATGGTCACGGTTATGGTAGGTAGTTGTCCGGGCTGTATGAAGAGGGCGTTAACTGACAACCCAATAGCTGCACAGATCTCTATTGTGCAGAACTTAACCTATTTTGAACATTTGGCTGAACCTATGGCCGAGTTTCTACATATCCTATCGGAGCAATATGATTATCCCCAGCTATCGGACGAGATCATTCGGGAACTTAGTAACAAAGAATTTAACAGCAACGATACCAAAGGACCAAAGTCAGTTTCATCATTCATTGTCAAGCTTTCGGAGCTTGCTCCTAGACTTGTCATGAAGCAAATGACTTTGCTGGCAAAACAATTGGATAGCGAGAATTACGCTGTACGATGTGCTCTTATCGAAATCTGTGGAAATCTCGTTGCAGACCTAAGCAAACAAGAAGAACGTGGTGACAACTACAAATCGCAACTAAACGCATTTTTCGACGTACTGGAAGAACGCTTCTTGGATATCAACCCTTACTGCCGATGTCGAACGATTCAAGTATACATCAAGCTCTGTGAACTCGAACAAAAGTTTCCAAAACGCCGACAGAGAGCCGCCGAATTAGCAGCCAGAAGCTTGGAGGATAAGAGCAGTAACGTCCGTCGGAATGCCGTCAAACTTTTGGGAACCTTGATTAAAACCCATCCATTTAGTCTCATGCACGGGTCACAGTTAAATTTCAAGGAGTGGAATTCTCGACTGGAAGCCGTTGATGCCGAGCTGAATGCACTTAAAACTCCAGCAGAAGCGGCTGTTCTGGCTGATAATACCAGAGCTGAAGCTAATACGGTACTACTGGATGATGCAACAGTCCTGGAATCAGATTCTCCCAAGAAGGCTCAGGCACCTTTTAGCGACGAAGAAAAGATAGCGGCAATGAGGAAGGCACAAGAAGAAGCTGCTACTTCAGAGGCTATCAATAAGTTAACCCTGACCAGACGATACTACGTTGAGGCTCTCAAATTCATCGAAGTATTGCATGGAGCTACTACTATCATTTGCCAACTTCTTGGATCCAAGAACAAGAGCGAAGTTATTGAGGCCATGGACTACTTCGAAATTGGTGATGCTTACAACATTGAGCAAAACAAGCTTGGTATCAGAAGAATGTTACGTCTCATCTGGACCAAGGGCAACAGCGATGAAGGAAAGGGTGTTCAGAATCATCTTATTGATTGCTATAAGCGCCTCTTTTTCGAGGCCCCTGATACGTACAGCGGAAACGATGCTGCGAACTACATTGCACGTAACATGATCAGTTTGACATTCGGTGCTACACCAGCTGAGTTGACTTCTCTCGAACAACTATTAAGCACCATGATGAAGGCAAACCATATTTCGGATCTTGTCATCACAAAGCTTTGGCAAGTGTATGGAGTCCAGAAGAGAGAGATCTCGAAGAGTCAGAGACGAGGTTCAATCATTGTTTTGGGTATGCTTGCTACCGCAAAGCCTGATATTGTGGTTGAAGAAATGGAGACCATGTTGCGAATCGGTTTGGGTAGTCTTGGTAGATCGGATTTACAATTGGCCAAATACACTTGCCTGACACTTAGACGTATTCATCCTACTGGACGGCAAGCGACAGTGCAAACTTCGAAGCTTAGCAATGATCATGCCGTTCTTGGAAAGTTGGCTGCTATCATCGAAGTCGAATCTGACAATAAAGAGTGGTATGGTGTTGCTGAGCAGGCGATCAGCGCCATTTACGCTCTTTCGAAACACCCAGATAATCTTTGCTCGGAGATTCTTCGAAGAAAGACAAAGCATGTGTTCCAGCGACGAGCCATGCCACCCCCTCAACCGAAACTAGATGAAGATAACGATGCAGACATGATGGATGTGGATATGATGGATGTGGATATGATGGATGTAGACGCTGAAGAACAGGGACAAGAAGTGAAGGAGGCGTCACCAGAAGAAACCGAAACGCTACCGCCACCGCAGAGCAAGCAGAAGGGCTCTGTTGCTTTATCTCAACTATTATTTATCGTGGGACATGTTGCTATCAAGCAGATTGTACATTTAGAGCTGTGCGAAATGGACTTCAAGAGGCGGAAGGCAGACGCTGAAAAGAACAAGACAACCGAAACACCGGCTGACAAAGCCGCGAAGGAAGCCGCTGATGATTTAGATATGATAGGAGGAACAACAGAAGATGACTTCACGGACGCAATGGCACACATTAGAGAACGTGAGCTGTTATACGGACAAAATTCTCTGCTGGCAAACTTTGGACCACTTGTGGCTGAAATCTGTTCCAACAACACAACATACAAGGATCGCAACCTTCAAGCAACTGCTACTCTTTGCTTGGCAAAGCTCATGTGCGTCAGTTCCGAATATTGCGAAACGAATCTCCCGCTTCTCATCACCATTATGGAGCGATCAAAAGATCCAATTATTCGTTCGAATGTGGTTATCGCTCTTGGTGATATGGCTGTTTGCTTCAATCATCTCATCGATGAGAACACCGATTTCCTTTACAGAAGATTGAACGACAAGGATGCGAGTGTGAAGAGGACTTGCTTGATGACTCTTACTTTCCTCATTCTTGCTGGTCAAGTGAAGGTTAAGGGTCAACTAGGAGAGATGGCCAAATGTCTCGAGGACGATGACAAACGTATCGCAGATTTGAGCAGAATGTTCTTTACTGAATTGAGTACAAAAGATAACGCTGTTTACAATCACTTTGTTGATATGTTTAGTCTATTGAGTGCTGAGAAGGATCTTGAGGAGGATGCTCTGAGGAGGATCATCAAATTCTTAGCTGGATTTATCGAAAAGGTATGTTTCCCGCTTCTCTGTATTTGATTCCTTACAAAGAGCCAATACTAACGTGATGGAATAGGATAAACATGCCCGCCAACTTGCAGATAAATTAGCAGCTCGGTTAGCCAGATGCGAAAGCGAAAGGCAATGGAATGATGTGACGTATGCTTTGAGTTTGTTACAGCACAAGAACGAAGAGATTACCAAGTTGGTACAAGGAGGGTTTAGGGTCGTGCAGGCTAGTGCTTGAATGATTTAAAAGCAGGCATGGCTTAGGATGGGTTTCTTGTATTGGATGGTTGATGATAATGATGATTATGGAGTTGGAGTTATGGTCATCTTATAATGATACCGGTGTTTGGTTGGTTCATGTATTCATGATCTTGAATCTTGATGAATATGAGATTTTGATATACTCCAAGACGTTTACTGTGTCAATGAAGTCATGAATGTGCATTAGTCGATAATGCGAGCTTTATCTTCATGTTCTTGTTTATTGAAGAAGTATTCTGTGCTATTAAGGACCATGGTGATGTAATTGGATATCCCAATTTCATATAGTGGATATTAAATAGTGCTCGAGTGGTCTTATATATATACATATACGTGACCCACTACTATATCTCAATACTGAACTTCAACAACAATAGCGATGGCATGATTATTACATTTTTATATGCAAGGAATCGCTTGATTTAGTAGTTTGCTATAACAAAGAGGATTGGAAGATTGGATTGGTGCAGAAGAGGGGAGAGAGACAACTTGATGGGAGGAGAGATGGAATGGTAAGGATGACTTGCTAGTACTAGTAATGATATTATTTGGAAAAGTTGTTGGGGATTTGGGGATATTCTTGGAATGATAAAGGGAAGGGAAAGGAGAGGAGAGGAGAGGGAGAGAGTGGGGGCATGGGGGTATGGGGGTGTGGGGCATAGGGCTTAGTAGTGTTCGAGTAGTTGAGTGTTAGTTGAGTAGGATATACGAGTGAGTAGATACGGAATTATAAATTATAGAATATGGAATACTACTTTACTCGAGTATAAGCATAAGCATATATATAACAACCTCTACTACTCGAGTAGTGAACTTTTAGTACAACTCTCAGTGATGGTGACGGGACTAGTGAGTTCGGTTTAATGATTATTATTATATTTAGCTTTTTTATTATTAGAAAATTACTTGCTATAAGTCTATAATTTGAACAAATGTAGTAAATGTAGTAAATATTGTAAATGTAATAAATATAATAAACGAAATCGATATAACGAAAACCACGAATACGATTATTGTTAATTATTAGTATTAAATGTTAAATCTCATCATCTTATAATCTTATTAGACAGACTATAAGATATCTAACCTTTCATATTATAAAACACTCTTAAAATACGTATGGTCAGTGCACGACAACGAACTTTTTTTTGAAAATTCACGTGCAATATCATATTCAATCTTCAATATTAGTACACTTCTCAAAACAATCAATAAAACAAAATCTAAAGACATATCATTTAAGAATACTATTCAATCTATATGAATATCAATTTAATATATCTCCGGAGGACGAGCTGCGACGTAGGAACTGAGGTGCCCTAGAAAAACGATTCGAAGAGCGCAGCGAGGCGAATTGTTTTTCCGGCACCGAGGGGCCGAAGTCAAAGCTCGTATATAATATGTATATTTCATTATATTCGGTTCTTTAAGCAACTACTCAAGCACTAACTAGGTACACTATATCATACACGAGTGTACTGAGTATATATACGAGTATAACAGTTTGAGCTATTGTCATCCTAAGATATAAATTCAAATTGTTTATACTCGCGGGATGATATGATGATATGAGGGTGATTATGAAGTGGCCCTGTTACCCGAGACTCGAGAGGGATATGATGTTCCTTTTATAGGAGCGGGTAGAGTTGGATCTCATGCTCATTCCCTTTGAATCTAATCACCCTGTAGAACCCTTCTAAATGGTATCTTGTACTGTTTGATCTATTCGATCATGGTAGTAGTTTGCTAGAAGATGATAGAGTGGATATACCATCTCTAGTTAAAATGTTTTTGTCTTCTCTCACCTCGGTCTCCCCCGATCGTTCTTCATGTCCCTTGACTAACTTTTTGAGCGTGTTGAATTGTGAGCAGCCTCTTTCCCCAATACAATATCTCATTGTATATTCCTAGAATCTGTCTCATTCTCATCGTAATCCCTCAACCCATCTACAAATTTCCTCTCCCCAACTACTCGTATGTATGGCCATAACGATCAAAAACATCCAGCAATTTCGCCCATCATCACCTAATAACATTTTCAGAATTCAAGTCCATCTCTAAATAACATTCTCGTCCTCCCCCGTCCCCTCCACCATCCCACTCATCAGCCCCACCCTCTTCAAATGCAACACCAATCTATATGCACAACTTCCATTCAAATAATACCTACTCAATTTCTTACTCCTCACAAACCCCAATCGTTCATATAATCTCATCGCCGCCACATTATCTTCCTCAGTCTCCAAAACTATCTCATCAGCGCCCCGCGCCGCCATCGCATCAATAGCCAATTTAACCAATTTTGTCGCGATGCCGCGCCCGCGAAATGAAGAGGAGACGGCGAGCATGGCTATGTAACCGCGGAGAGTGGGCGGGGAATGTGAGGCATGGGTTTCGAGTTTGGAGATTAGGATGCCATGGAGAGGAGGGGTGGTGGTGGGGGTTAGCGGGAGAGAGGGGTCAAGTGCCTTGGGTTTGTTAGTATTTATTTAAAGATGGGCATCCTTGATTAAAGAGAAAAGGAGAAGCACAGGGGCAAATACCATAAAACATAAATCTCCCCATTGATATAAAAAGTATCGATAAACATAAATACTATATGGCTCGCTCAAATCTTTCGATATCAAGGCTCGAATCGAGGGTAAATATTGTTTTTCGAGTGCATGCTCATATTGTATGTATCGTAACTCGGCTGGTAATTCTTTATTACTCGAGGGTATAGGTGTTGAGGTGCTGGTTTCTGAGGCCATGACTGATGTGGTGTAGTGTAGTGAGAGTTGAGAGTTTTGTGTATTGAATTTCGTAGTGGGATGATTTTGGATTTGGCTGGAACAGTCAATTGATAAGTAAATACGGATAAACTCCGGTAGATTAATATATATTTTTGGTAATTCTTTTTATATGCACAAGTACTTCATGTACCCCTGCCAGTCATTATTTTTAACCAATCAGAATGCAGTATATGAGCGGAAAAATTTAACCGGATCAGTCCGCCAATCCCGAATCAAGCGCAAACAGCGGGTCGGTGCGATTACGTAGCTTGGTAAGTTCAAGTTAGAAGGATCGATTAAGCAGTTTTATACCAAAAAAAGTTTATTACTTTTGATTTTATCTCTCCATTTCATACTCGAGAATAATGATGAGATGATATTTACTTGACATCCCTCTTTCACATTCTCCCATCCATCCAATCTCATCATTCTCCCCTTCACCATGTCCTACCTCCGCCGTCTTATCCTGGGAACTCCAACACCCTCCCCTCCCTCTCCCTCGACTCGGTCTTCCTCCCCAGCCAAAGCAGAAGAAGTGCGTCTTGCGCCTGTATCCAGAATACTCACACAAAAAGAACAGAAATCTCGAAAGCGACGCAATACTTTTATATTTTTCCTAGGAGGACTTTTTGGATTGGTGGTCGCAGGGTTTTTCGCGGGGAGAAATGATTTAATCGAGCTGCCGGAAATGTTGGAGGGGATTACCATGGATAGTTTGATGGATGTGTTGCCGGCGGGTTTTGTGAAAGATGCGAGGGATTTGGCTGTGAGTGCTGGGGTTTCTGTATTTTATCCCTCCTGGAAATATGGGGGGAAGTCGAGGAAAGGGAGGGAAGAGTTCAGGTGATGGGATTTGATGCTAATGGATTTTTGTTTTGTAGAAGGGAGAACGGGAAGCTGTGAATTATGATTCATTCTCTGTGGGTTTGCATCTCAAGGCGCAAGGGATTCATGCGAAACATCCGGTTGTTATGATCCCCGGAGTGATTTCCACAGGATTAGAATCTTGGGGGACGACGAATGCTTCACGACCTTATTTTCGCAAAAGATTATGGGGGAGTTGGAGTATGATGAGAGCATTGGTTGCAGATAAAGAGGGATGGAAGAGACATATCATGTTAGACAAGCGTACTGGACTGGATCCCCCCGGGATTAAATTGAGAGCTGCGCAAGGCTTTGATGCTGCTGATTTCTTCATAACGGGCTATTGGATTTGGAGTAAGATATTGGAGAATTTGGCGACGATTGGCTATGATCCTACGAATAGTTACACGGCGGCTTATGATTGGAGATTATCGTATGCGAACATGGAGATTAGAGATCAATACTTCACACGACTAAAGATGCACATCGAATTGGCAAATAAGATTTCAAATAAAAAAGTGGTGCTGGTATCACATTCTATGGGTGGTCAGGTGCTGTTCTATTTCATGCATTGGGTAGCATCTTCAAGTGGTGGGAATGGTGGAGATAATTGGGTTGATAAATATGTTGATTCTTGGATCAACATTAGTGGATGTATGCTGGGAGCATTAAAGGGACTGCCCGCAGTATTATCTGGAGAAATGAAGGATACAGCCCAGCTTAATGCATTCGCAGTTTACGGACTAGAGAAATTCCTCAACAAAGAAGAACGAGCAGAGATCTTCCGAGCCATGCCAGGAATATCTTCCATGTTACCCATAGGAGGTGATGCGGTTTGGGGCAACGCAACCTGGGCACCAGATGATACCCCGGGTCAAGAAGTCAGCTATGGACAATTTCTCAATTTTAAAAACCAAAATACTTCAACTGGATACCGAAACCTTACAGTATCGCAATCTTTAGACTATCTGTATAATACCACGGAAGATTGGTATAATAAGGCAGTGAAGGGCAGTTATTCACATGGCGTAGCTCATACGACTGCCGAAGTCGAAGCAAATGAGAAGGATCCAAGAAAATGGATTAATCCACTCGAGACGCGATTACCTCTTGCGCCCAACCTGAAAATCTATTGTTTCTATGGTATATTTATCATGGCTCCCTATAACAATCAAATCCATGCTAACAGTAACCAGGAATCGGCAAACCAACCGAACGCTCCTATTTCTACCGCCACTCCGATAATCCCCTCTCATCCCTCAATATCACCATCGACACCGGGCTCACCCAAGCCAACATCGACCACGGCGTCATTCTAGGCGAAGGCGACGGTACAGTCAATTTGCTCAGCGTAGGGTACATGTGTAACCGTGGCTGGAAATATCATCGCTATAATCCGGCTGGCGTCAAGATCAAAACGTATGAGATGCCCCATGAGCCGGATCGCTTTAGTCCGAGGGGTGGCCCGAATACGGGCGATCATGTGGATATTTTGGGGAGACAGAGTTTGAATGATTTGGTGTTGAGGGTTGCGGCGGGGAGGGGGGAGGAAATTGAGGAGATGGTTAGTAGTAGGATTGCGGAGTATGCGGAGAATGTGAAGATTGGGGAGGAGGGGTATAAGGTTGGGGGTGAGGGTGGGGATAGGGATGGGGATGGGAATGGGGAGGAAGAAGAAACTAAAAGTGGGAGAGTAAAGGATAAAGTAGAAGAGAAAGCAGAGGAGGTCATGCAGACGTTAGAGAGGATTGTAGGGGGTGCAGGCGCAGGTGCGGATAAAGATGAATTATAACATGATATCACGAGGGAATAGATAGGCGTTTTAAAGGAATGGGATTACTTTACGTTGGCATTGTGTGTAGTTTTGCGTAGCAGGTATACTGCTTATGTATATGAATAAGGAGCGAAGCGAGAAGAGGGGAAAGGGGAAATGGAACGAGACTCGCAGGTAGAGATTAGAAATAGATTTATGCTATACCCACTCAGCATCCATCTATATCTGTTCATTCTACAGAACAGCCTAATCCAAAGATAAATCCAAATCCATATCAAAGATCATAATCCAATGATGTAACATTCGAACTCGTGACGTGATGTGTTGTGATGTGATACACTCGTAGGAATATTATCTTTTCTTTATTATTCTAATATTTCTATTACAATTACAATTACAATTACAATTACTATTCTTATTCTTATTCTTATTCTTATTCTCATTCTCATTCTCATTTCTATTCTCATTTCTATTCCAATTCCAATTTCTATTCCAATCACCCATCCATTCCATTCCCGCCTCTTCTCTTCTCTTCTCTTCTCAATTTCTGTTTTCAAATATTTGATTTCATTTGATTTGATTCGAATACTTAGATACTTACGAGTAGATGCTTAGATTTAGATTTAGATTTAGATTTAAATTTAGAAGTTGGATTTAGAGTTAGATTTAAATTTAGATTTAGATTTAGAGTTGAGTAAGGTATTAATTGATAGGTACAAGTGCTAGTATGAGTAATACTCGAGTATAATAGAATATAAAATGTATTGTAATATTCGATAAATGTGATGGATGCGATACGATACGATACGATACGATAGGATAGGATGGATATTCATAGCCAGCGCCATGAAGAGAGTTGGTTAGATAGATAGATAGATGAGATGAGTTGAGATTTTCTATATAAATATAATCACTTAATCGCTTAACCCCAAAGACATTTGATTTATTTTATTTCATTTCATTTTCTTTCATGTTACTTTACTTCCGTTCCATGCCGCTCCGTTCCATTTCGGTAGTATATTATAACAAAAAGCTGCCTACAAATTTCACAACAAGGGTATCATGCATATATAAATCGAGTCATCCTCCTTGCCTTTCCCTTACCTTTCCTTCCTTTCCTTCCTTACTTCACTTAATCATTTCATTCGCTTCAAATAACCCTTGACTCCTCCTCCTAACCCACCACCCCCTCCAACTCTCTCCTCATTAACCCTCTCCATCCTCCACCCTCCACCCTCCACCACCCCTAATTCCCAATACTCCAAACCTCCACCCCAATAATATCAAACTTCTCCCCCTCCTCACTCAACGGCTCATTCCCAAAAGTAGGACAACTACTACTAACCCCCTTCTCAAACGTATCATCCAACCATAACCCATAATGACCATCGCCGCCCCCAATACTCAAAAAGCCCGTTTCGCAAAACATCATGTAGTCGTTGATGCCGGAATAGGGAAAAGCCTTGAAGCGGATTCGTTCGGGGGTGCTGCTTCCGGATTTGGAGGTGAAGGAAGGGGGTTTGGGGGATACTCCGAGGGAGTGTGTGGAGGTTGTGGGGGAGAGCAGGGAGGAGGGAGACGGCGTGTGCGTATGTGTGTGATGGACGCCGATGGTGGTAGTGCGTTGCAGATGCGTTGTATCGGCGGAAGGGGGAGGAGGGAGATTAGATAGAAAGGAGGAGGAAAGTAGGGTGGCGCGCCAGAGGAAACATTCTCCAGTGCCGAAGTAGTGGGGGGAGGGATGTGGTGCTTCGGTTAGGTATGCGCCAAATAACTATTCGGAATAATCACATTAGCATCATCATTTTCAAAATACCAAGACCCTTCCCTGGAATATTGAACAGGAGATAAGATATACATACCCCGCCTTCTCCATCCCTAACAACCAACACAAACCCATTCCTCAACCCTCTCAAATCATCACATTTCTTATACAGTGTCCCTAAACTCACCCCATCCTGCTCTAAACTATACACTAAATTCCATTCCTCACATAACTGTAAGCGCGGAGGCACCAACAACCTAATTTCCTCCGCCAACGCTCGACTCAAAAGCTGCGCCGACGCATCAGTATTTTCCCTCCATCCGCGCAGCGTAACCGGATATAAAGGCGGGGGTTGAAAAGGCGAAGCGGTGCGATGCGGTGGTGTGTAGACGCCTTGTATGCCATTTGAATTTGTAGGGGAGAAGGTCGGAGATAGGGTTTTGGAAGTTTGATGATGGTTATTATGATGATTGTTGTGATGATTCCCATTGCCATTCCCATTATTGCCAGAGTGAGTCGATGGCTCGGTGGAAAATCGTCGGAGTAATCCGGTGACGGCGTGGGAAACGGTGGTGGGAACGGCCCAGGAAGCGGAGCTAGAGAGGGCGGGGGTGGATTGCCCAGAGGATGACGTGGGTGTTTCGTCGTGATAGCGATTGGATGGCATGGTGAATGGTTGGTTGGTTTACTGCATCAATTTCGGGGTGGGTTTTGTGTATGTGGTATTGAGAGAATTGGTTCCGAGAAGAAGATGTGGGAATGTGCGAAGGTTGGTTGGTTTGGTTGATTGGTTGATTGGTTGATTGATTGGCTGGTGAAATGGAATTCGAGATGGGATCTGTAAAGCTCGTATGATGGGCGTGGGTGGGAATTAAGATTGATTGAGGTGTAAGAGTTAGTTCGTGGCCTGATGAAATATACCTACTTCATACCCTCCCTGTCTTTCAATTTGTAGGGATCCAGGGATCCCACTAAAGCTTTAATTGGTTGAAAGGAATAAGATAACGGATAAGGCTGAATGCCAAGAAAAGGGAGTTGTTTCGTTTGGTCGAGATTTCCATCCTGTTTCCATTAAAATCACCTTATTCTACACTTGATTTGCTTCAATATACTTGTCTAACTTAAACTCAAGTACCCCGGATTAGATATCTAATCCGAGTCAATGGTGCAGCAACATTTATATCATAACACCGTTTTTGTACATCATCATTATGGCTAATCGGACGATTCCATGTATAACGTTAACGGACTGAGGGGTTCTCAAACATTGCATCTACTGTATTCAATATGCCGTGTCACCAATACAATACAGAAGTACTGCAGGTAGAACCAAATCCAATACCAGTACATACCGGTATTAACACTCGAATAGGTTGTACAACATTACATTTCAATTCCTAAATACCTTCCTTGTCATCCCAAAACTTCCTAATCCCCCCAATAACACCCTCTGGACTTGGCATTTCGGCACAAACATCCGGTTCATACTCGAATGTGTTTTGGAGGTAATCCCTAGTAGTAGGTCCAATCGTAGCGATGAATATCTTCCGTTTTCCACTCTCTCCTTGGTCTGATGACTTGACTTTTCCACTTTGGGTGTCTAGCATTCCTAGAGTACGTAACATGGCTTCACAGCCCGTCGGCGAAAATACAATTATCCATCGCTCTTCTCTATCCTTGGTATCTCTCAACAAATTGGTAAAGTTCTCCTCGAATGATTCCATGACTCCAGTGCCGTAAACTACCAATTCATCGACTTGGATCCTCTTTTCGTTTGGTAAATTTGGATTCATCAATGTTTTAGGAATGATATCTCTTCTCTGTTCTCCAACCATGAATAAGACTGGTGGTTTTGTTTTGCGATCCTTATACCATTGTCCATAATGATCCAACATATAATGTGCCAATGCTTCTCCATTGCCCGTTTCAGCCCCAAATATATTCAAAGGCGGATCTTGGGGAATCGATCGTAGAGCTCGAGATGTCGCGGGTCCAACAGTATATATCGGTACATCTTGTAGATATGGCCATTCCTCACTCACTATACACAAGTCAGTCAATGATAATACTCCAAACAATCAACACCCATACCATTCCCTTCCCCTCTCCCCTCCTCCACCAATCTAGCAAACAATTCCACAGCCCTCTGACTCGTAAAAATCAATCCCCCATATTTCCTCCCTTCCTCCCTCCCAATATCCCTCTCCCTCAAAAACCTCTTGACTTCAACCACACCATCCTCCACAAACTTATGTTCCAACACCGGCACAAAAACCGGTTCAAATCCTCTCTCCCCTCCCTTCCCCCCAACCCTCATCACATCATAACTCACCTCCTCCAACCTCTCCTCATACCCATCATTCGGCACACTCTTCGTCTTCAACAAAAACACCGGGACCTTTTTTATCCTTTCAATCCTTCCTTTATCGTTATTCATCCTATCCTTTTTTTATATTCCTTGCACATCTCGAAAGAAAGAAACCCGTCAAAAAATCACAAACCCACAGAAGTTCGAGCTCTTTGAGCAAGTGGGGTGCATTTCCGGAGAAATGACGAACTTTTAAGCTTAAATTCCCATCACCTACAGTAACCCCTGTTTTATTCAATATATACGGAGCCAAAAACGCCGATCGTGCCGGGTACATTTCATTTGTGTGTGTGTTATATTACAAAGCTTCAATAACATTTTATTTCAACATACTTCTACCGGTATCTCTCTTCTTTCTTTCTTTCTTTCTTGCGACAGGCATTCGTCAATTGGGAAGGGAAGGAAATACACAATGGCAGATGATATGAGAGAAACTGAAGCCAGTACAGCGAGTACCGGTAGGGTAGAAGCTGCTCCGAAGAAATATCCAAAGGGTGTTATATTGGGGAAAGATGGGAAGCCGTGAGTTTGTTTATTCTTCTTGTGAATTTATATCTTTTGCATTTTATATCATAAACCGAAACTCAAAAAACTAACACCCCACCCTAGCTGCCGCTCCTGCAACTCCTTCGCCTCATTCACCTCGTCCTCCAAAACCCTCCCATCTTCCTCCTCTACCTCATCTTCCCCTGCTCTCACATCCACCTCCTCCCCTTCCCCCTCTTCCCTCCCCACCGACTGCCCCCCCGACGTCTCCCTCCTCGGAACCTCCACCTGGAACCTCCTGCACAGCCTCAGCGCCTCATACCCCCGCACCCCCACCCCCACCGACCGCACCAACATATCCACCTTCATGACGCTCTTCTCCAAACTCTATCCATGCTGGGTATGCGCCGAAGATTTCCAACAATATATGGAGCGCAACAAGGTGCGCACGGAATCGCGAGAGGAATTCGGTTTGTGGATGTGTGAGGCGCATAATGAGGTTAATAGGAAGTTGGGGAAGAAGGAGTTTGATTGTAGGAGGTGGGAGGAGAGGTGGAGGACGGGCTGGAGGGATGGCAGGTGTGGGTAGGGTTTGGGGATGGGGAGAGAATGGAGAGGGGAAGAGGACGGGGGTGGGGGTGGGGGAAATTGGAGGGGCTGTATGATATGATATGATACGATATGATGTGATGTGATGTGATGTGACAAGGTGGACAATTCAAAAGGCAAAATGCTGCATCAGGAGGCGTTTCGGGAAAATCGGTTAATCAACATAGCAAAGAAGCTATCTCGGCTCAAAACTGTATATCAGTATATGAAGACTTCTATTCTCTTCTCATTACATTAAATATAGAATGTATAACGCTGATCTGATCTGATTTATGTATAATTATAATTACACAAATCCACCCAGACGCTGAAAGATTTCCCTATCTCCCAATCTTGTATCTCAAATACCAAAGAACCCAGTTATGTTATGTTATCCCTTCCATCCATCACGACAATACCATACTTTCCACACTCACAAATAAACATCTCAAAATACAATTCCTCACACTCATACCCACACTCATTCATACCCATCACACCCATCCATCCATACATTCCAACACCCATCCCTCATTACCCTCACTTTCCTCCCCTACCAAACATAATTCGCGCTCCGTCCTGTGCATCTTTCTATTTCACATCAGAACTTTTCTCCTCTTGATACTTGGTGTTGATGTTGCTTCTAAGGCCCATATATCTCCACCTCCATCTCCATCTCCATCTCCACCTCCATCTCCATCCAAATCCTGCGTACACCCCCCCATTCCCTCTAAAAACCCCTCTTTCGAAACCGAGTAATATCGACGTTTGCGAGAACGAGAACATTCAACTTCCGCAGAGGTATTCGTCTTCGTATCTGCATCTGCATCTATATACCGGTATAGTTTTCCATCGCGAACATGAATATCAACATGAGTATCAGTCCCCAAAAACTCCACGCTCTCTTCAGTTTCGTTTCCAGATGAATCTGTATCGGAATTGGAATTCGAATCAGAACTTAAAGTCGAACGAGGACGAGAATCGCAATCTGAATGCAAATAAGAATAAGAATAAGAATAGGAATCAACACCCAACCCCCAAAACTCATCAAGTAATCTCTCGCAGACTTCCTCAGGCGCTTCAACCAAAGCAGAATCTTCAAATTCAAATTCAAATCCAAATTCGAATTCGGATTCGGGACTGGGATAGGGACAGGAAAGAGCATCAAGTTCAAGTTCAATTGTGGGAAACTCTGAAAGCGTATACAGTGAGTCGGGGAAGAGATATGAGAGGTGTTTGTGTTTGTGTGATGAGCTTGTAGATGTAGATGTATGGGTTTTGCTTCCCTCGTCTGTTCCTTTGGTTTCTTCATCTTTATCTTTATCCCGTGCATCGCGTTCCGAAGATGTGTAATCTTGAGACTCAGAGGGATTTTTATCTTTGTCTTCGCTTCCGTATGCATCTTTGTCTTCTCCACCTGGCTGGAATTCCCCGGCATCAAATTCTTCAGATCTATCTCGATCATGCGGTCTTGTATCTTCGTCTGATGAAGAAGATGAAGAAGAAGACGATGATGATGAAGATGATGAACGAGATGAACGAGAGGCACGAGATACATGAGATACATGAGATGGCGGCATCTCAATCTCCTGATCTAAATTAGCCTCTTCCTCCAGATCTGGAAATCCATTTTTGGTCTCTCGAAGACTTGATTGATCGGCAGCACCGAGGTGACTCATGATTTGGTCTAGTATAGTGGGTTGGTGTTCATTTGCATGTCGGAAGGGGTTATGCCTCGTGTTCTCTACCACGTTCATCAGGTCGCAAAATCTTGGTGCTGGTGCTAAACAAAGAGATGTAGAGGCAGGGCTGTATGACGCCATGGTAACCGGTGCTAGGGTTGGGGTCAGAATCTCAGCCGATTGCTTAGCCGCGGAAGAACTATTAGTATTGCCAGCAGGACCACGACCTCCCGATGTCAGAATTGATGCGGAGGCTGGATTTCTTATCCCAATAACCGATGGCATTGTTCCAATTTCCTGCATATCTTCAGGAGCATTCAACGGTCTTCCCAACGCAAGTTCTGCAAGAGTGGTAGCATCGGCATCAGGAGGAGTATTTCTCAAAGCCGCTGCCACAATCACCCGCTGGAGTGGAGGATTTGGTATCAAAGCCATCTGTTGTTGTGGACCTTGTGGAATTTGTGTAACTTCTGTCGTAAGAGTACGAGTTGTGGGAACGGATCCTGGTACTGATGCTGGACGAGACATTGATGACATGTTTATAGGAAATTGTGATGTAATGGATGCAATGCTTAATGTGCGCGGAGCAGCAAGATGCGAGGTAGCTGATGGTATAGCTGTATGCGTAACTGACGAATTTGCTGAAGCAGAATTGGGAGTAGTGGCGGCATTGTCGGCGGGAGTATTCGATGATCGCTCTGTCATGTCCTTTGAGGACATTTTATGTAGAAGATATTGGAACGCTGTTGTATCTATCTGTAAAACTGATCTGAATTGATGTGGAGAGGATAGATATATCGATGTAATAGGTTATATCTGTGGAAATGAATGTTGTTTGCTGGCAATTGTAAGTTGATAGTGAGTTGAAACAGGAATGAGATTCTTACGCTGAAGATATCGAGTTAATTACCCCATCACATTAGCATCGCTCTTACCACTAGGAGGTCTTAAATGCATCGTCGAGCTTTCCTTGCTAGGTATGCGGGACCACTTGAATTCTGAAGAAGTCACGATTATGTTCTGGTGCCAAATAAATGAATAGGGGCGCAGAAAGTCCGTAGACCCATACGAACGGTCAATATACAATAATTTCTTACCCATCAGCAATTCGAAGACAAACACCTATATCATAACATCTCCCTATCGGTTTCAACACTCACATACCATTTTAGGGGGCAATAATGGATACTTCACTTCTATGACTTTCTCGGAATCTCAGATCGTTGACGCACTTCTGCACCCCCTATTGGGCTGTGACACGACTAACAACCAGACTCGAATGGTAAAAATCATAGCCGATGAGCATTAAAATGTAATAAAATTCAACAAACTGAAATGGATATTGCAGAAGCATGCATCACCTTGCTTACCTGCAAAACGCTCGCATCGGCCGTGTTGTGGGTTAAAATCAAAGGGGGGTGAAACTGGAGTTATTTGTCCTCGCAGCAGGTTCCCAGCTGAAGAACACCTGGAAAATTGGAGGTTTTTGTCTTGTCCGATGAACAACCTGGAAACTTCTGGTCTACTTTTTCGTAGTCTCGTTCTTGATATCTTTGCTAATCAGGATGGGCTTGGTGCTATTTTTTCATCTTGATCTGTAACTATGCTCTCGTCACCTTTTTAAGATTAGGCTCAAAACTTCATTTCATGGTCTCCGGCAACTAAGCTTGGGAAAGTTCATTACAAGGAGAATGTGGTTTGCTCCTTGGAGATCCACTCACTGTCCTTTTGCTTGCAGTCCCCTTTACCTCTTACTCAATACCATAACAGAACCCCCAGCCAAATCCTAGAAGTAAAAGTTGACCAACAAATCCAGCAACTCATTCATAGTTCACGTGATGCGTAGCTAAATCACTCGGTTCTTTCTTAACTTTCCGGAAGAACGAATCTACTTTTGCATTTCTTCCTTTTTGATGGGTCGAACTTTTGGAATGTTAGTGATGAGTTGATTGTGCGGAGGATTCTTAAGAAGTTCTAGGGAGCTGTATAGGGAAGCCTTGATATTGTATTGGTTGGAGGAGTTGAGTTCGAGGTGTGTGTATACATCTATGCATCGCATCGTTTATTTAGTTTTGATCCGTGTTTATATAGTTCTCCCGAAAGGAACTAGGGAGAAAGAAAGAAGGGAAGCAAACCGCATTTATAATGAATAGCTCCCGTTCGGGTTCTGTTCACCAATACCAACTCCTTAATAGCTTTCAATACTCGATACACATCCATCTTATCTGAGAAATTCTCGGTATAAATGCATATAACATGAGTTGTTCGAGAAAGACCGGATGCATCGTTGGGAGCGACTTTGGCGGCTATACCGAGGGAATTGGTGGAGGTGGATTTAGCGATTGCGGCCCAGACTTCATTTACTTCAGAAGAGTCGCAGAAGATCATCCACTATGGAGAGAGAATTTTAGAATTGGAGTGTTGAGACGGGAAAGGGGGAAAGGGGGAAAGGGGGAAAGGGAAGGGGTGGCAGGTGGGATAGAAATAGGGGGATGTCAGGAGACTTCTCAATTGAACAGTAATACAGCATTTGAATTGAGTGTTGTCCGAGGACTACTCTAGGATATCGGATGGAAGGGCAAGGAAACAAGCGAATTATGAAACATACCTTTCCACTAGTACATCGACATTCAATAGCAGTATCTAGAATTTTCTGAACGATGATGTCTTTCTCTTTTTTTACCAAGTGACTGATTATATTCAGGTCTTTTCCAGCATTTTCCTTCTCGATTGTGTTGCGAAGAGTAGTTAATTCCTCAAGTAGGCGATGCCCTCTGGTTACACATCTTGCCCAGCTGTTTGTGAAATCAGCATACGAAACTACTCATTCAGGTCTCCTTATTACACAAAATGTACTCACTTGCTATCTTCACTAGGAGGGGCCTCTCCATTTACCGCAATACCTTCCGGAGCCTTTTGAAAAGGATTGGCGATGTATATCCACGGGATTGATTCAGAAAGCGGGGTAGTACTTGGTGGTAGTCGTTGTAGGAAAGCCCCGACACTCTCATCAAGTTGCCATGCACATGCTTGACCAGCATACGGATTATACAGATTCACTTTTGGCGGTGGACTTGCAAGGCTTTGGGCAACATTGGCATCTGCCTTTTCGATCAAAGATGGCTGATGCTGTTTCCAATATGCTCTATCGTCGAAGTCTGCTGCACGATCTTCGAATGATTCTTTGGTTGTGGGGTCCCCTGATTTAATGTTTAGTAGGTGGGATGAAGTGACAGAGGTGTTTGGAATACCGTAGAAATCCGATTCATCTGATATGTAGCCCTGATTTCTGGAGACTTCTCCTTCTTTGCCACTTGCCATGATGTTGTGAAGTGAGACTTTCTCACATGAATATTCGGTGATAAGTGAAGTGAAAAGTTGAAGTTGCAAACTGTGAAGACGCGTGGATGAATCGTCGCTATTTATTGACATGGAAGTCAGGTCATTATATGACCACTAGATCAATGAATGGATGATAGGCATAAGATAAAGGTACGCATGAAAAAAGAATCAAAAGGATACATGTATCGTTGAAATTGAAGGAATATCTTGACGTTGGAAGTGTTTGCTTAGAGAGATTCACTTCAAGGAATAGAATGCACGGACCATATAAAGATTTCTTTCCATGAATATACAAAAGTTCCAAGTCAATTGGGTTGCTGAGCTTGAGCTTATTGGGTATTCTAACTCTTGAAGTTTTGAGGTTCTTGAGACGACTGTCTTTGAAACAAAAACCAGTATTGAAAAATGTCCTTTACACCAGAAATATTTGAATCCTTTTAAAAACAAACGGGTTCCGTTTCACAGGGGTCGAGAAGCAAACACGCAGTGGCAAGAGATGCATTGTACTGTAATATGGTGCTTGCTGTAGTGTAGACAACAGAGCTAGAAGTGAGAAGGAAGTACCTAGGTATGGTGAGGACTCTGCAAGTGTTTTAAAATTAGTAATGAAGGTTTATGTGATTTTGAAGTACAATTCTATTTGTGAGAACGAGGGTTGAGATTTCTCTCTCCCCTTCGCCGTTTTCTTCGGTAGTAATGTTGGACGGGGAGGAGAAGAAAGAAGACTCTAGGTAAGTATTTTCTACCGTTGATGTCTCCTTCGGAATACACTAGCAAGAGCTAGCAACAAGAAAATAAGATACTCAATCACCCCTTCCTTGCATTGTTACCATACATTTATCTGTGGCTCAATTGAAAGCGGCGGTGCAATGTGGCTTGCCAACCACACTACGAATACTTTTCCATCTACTCGAGTGCTCAAGTATATATCCCAACCTTCTCAACCTTCAGACAAGATCAGCTTCCAAATTTCAGAATCCTCGAAACGAAGATCCTCTTTCTGTCAAAATACTTATTACAGTGCTCAGCGATTTCTTCTAGGATATCAGATTCTATATGCTGAGAGTTAGTTTATCGATCAATCAAACTATGCCTTCAAAAATCGAACTTCTTGATTCTGATCTCTTGGAACTACCTCCGAGCTGCCTAGAATTTTGGCCAAATAATCCTTCGTGGTTCGTCATTGGTACCTACGAGTTAGATAAAGAAGAAGAAGAAGAAGATTCATGGGTAGATGTCGGGGAGTCTTCGAGTGAAGTCGTTGTGAATACCGATCCGTTCCCTCATAAAGAGGGGATTGTATCATCAGCCCCTTTGAGTTTAATTGATTATTCTCACAGTCCACATGAATTCGTCGAAGGTAGCGAAATCAGCCCGAATAATGAGAAAGATCAATCAGAGCCCCCATCGACTCTCCAAAAGAGGAATGGAAGTGTGATGCTATACCGCCTTGATGGTGGTTCACTGTAAGCATTATTCACAGCATCTTTATTCTTCCTGTCACCTCTGATATGAGTAGGACACTTTGTCAATCACGTCCCTATTCCTATGGAGCAATCTATGACCTCCACTTCTGTCCCACAGATCCAGATTACTTTGCCGTGTCCTCCAGCACGGGCAGGATATCCCTCTTCAAAATAACGACTAATGATGATCCTTCTCCCAATCTCGAACACGTCAATACTTGGAAAGTGTTTGATGATTCCGTTCTTATTACTTTTTTTGCATGGTGTCCTTCGAAGTCGAAAGATGGTTCTCTGTCTTTAGCGGTAACGGCTTCAACTGGAGTCGTTCAAATACTTAACATCACCGGAGCCATCTATGGCAAGATACACGGTTCGGATTTACGGTTACGGAGGGAAGAACCACCGATCGCATTGCATGCTTTGAAAATCCCATATTCGGGCGAGGAGCCTCAGTATGCATATTGCTGCCATTGGGCTTTCCATCCTCTCTCACTTTCCGAGAAATTCCACGGTATATTTTCTGGAGGAGATGATTCGAAACTCAGAACATGCATCCTAGGAAATCCCGGTAACCGCGAGAATCATTTTGATTGGAATTTGCAAACGTCATTCTCGGGGCATGACGCAGCCGTGATCTCCATTCTTCCCCTGCCATCCGGGGACTACAAATGGATTCTCCTAACAGGCAGCTACGATAACAAAGTCCGAATAATTGCCATGGAATGGTCTACCGGTCCAGTAGATACCGATGAGCTTTCCCAGGAAAAGCCCATCAGTGTTATGACAGATCTAGATGTCGAAGGCGGAGCATACCGTCTAGAGTTCCTCCACGATTACCCCAAACAGCCAGACCCCAACCAAGATCTATCCTTCCAAATTCTAGCCTCATGCATGGAAGTAGGTGCCAAGATCCTACAAGTACAGCGAAAGAACAATACATGGAACATCAAAATCATTGCATCCCTCAACATCTCCATCCCAAAATTCCCAAATCCAAGCGAAAAATCCCAATTATGCTACGCAAGCGCAGTCCAACCAGCAACCAGTAAGAGCGGTATGGTATTCAATAGCTCCTATTTCAACAAGAGACGATTGAGTGGTACACCTAGAAAAGTACAACTGGCAACTACAAATGGAGATGCGATTTTCGTAAGCACATGTTTTAATAAAAGACAGCTGGGTGTGTATAAATTTGTAGAGGGTGAGGGTGTCGATAATGGGATGGATGAACTTGTAACGGGAGTTAAGGGCTTGTAAGCATATGCGCTTGCCAATATTATTAATATTATGTACTGTATTATGTTCTGGAGTGCAAAGTGTCAAAGTTAGCGCAGCGCTGGACAAAATTGATAACCACAATTGGAAAATAGAGAAAATTTTCTCGAGAGCAGTCGTGTTGTGGACGTAGGGACAAGACGTATGGATAAGTAAGGACTAGATTAATACTCAAAGTACAGTAGATCCAGCCGAGATCTTACAAGAGGCTCCGAAGTCTTCAACTTGATGAAGCATACGGTTAACTACAGTAACTATTTCTATTCTGGTTTGGGATTGCTAGTATATTAGAACATAGCTGGGTATTTTAGTCATGAATTTTGTATATCCCCTATTATTACTCGAGTATTTTATCCCCAAACTTTTCCTCCACTTATCCCCCTATTCTTTCCACTCTTTGCCTTCAGGTTCTCTATCTTATGGACTTAACCTCCTCCCTCGCCCATCCTACTCTATCACCTAATCCCAAACCTAGAGCCAAACCGTACTCACAAATCCATTATTCACGAATCACAAGCTCCGAACACATTATACCGTCCTCATCAACCATCTGGTTCTTTGTGTATCGCTGTATTATACTCGAATCATAACAAAGAGTATAGTATTGAAGCAGGAACGAAGATGTTGAAAAAGTGTTTGTAATTTTGTATTAGATTGGATTTGTTACTAAGTAATTAGAACAGGGTAGAGGCTGTGTGATTGAGGTTTGGAATATGGCGAAACGAAGTGAACTCCGACAAACAGAAGATAGGATATCTCAGATTTGTTTAGTGGGTGGATGGAAAAACAGAGTGCAAAAAGACAAATCAAATATAAACCTTATAGAACTACAGCTTCGTCGAACCCGAGTCCATTGTCAGCGGCAGAAGGCTCGTCTTCTAAGGAGAGATCCTCGACTTGACCAAGCAGAGCCTTCTCGAAGAATGATTGCGAAGTTGCTTTGGTTGGCCAGTTTGCCTTGAAGGTAGGAACGACAGGTTTAGGAGGAGTAAGTGGCGATCCGAGTGAGGGTAGTGTGATTTGTTCTTCGGTGAGGCCTGTAGCCTCTAGTATGGATTCACATTCACCTTCCAGGCCATGTGACTTTGCGGTCATGTAGGCAAGTGGATCTGATCTGGGTTAGCATCTTAGGCGTGAGTATCATCGTGTTTTATGTAAACTTACAAAGATCGATTTCCTTGAACATCTGTATCCTGTCCTGAACATCTCCGAGATATAACGCGTTCTGGAAGCGAGCCGTAAAGTCACCACGATGTTCTGCAATCTTGGCCATTCTCGTTAACTTTGCCTCGTCTCCAGTGGCTAGATACAAGAACGATAATTTGTCAAATTGTCGTGCCTTCTGATATGTCATCTCGACAATCTGGTGATTGCCGTGAGCAATGGCCTCGGCTGTTAATCTTGACCACAACTTAGGTCGGTCTAATTGCTTGGCCATCTCTACGGCGACTTCCAAGTTACCACACTCGATTGCTAATTCGAATCGTGCGTGTGGATCTTGCACGAATTGCAAAGCAATCTCTGGATAGCCCTTCTTCTGCAAATAAGAAATGATACTTTGACCAACAAGACTGGAGTTCTTAATGATTTGCAGCATCTCTTCATAGTTTCGCTTCACAAGGGCGAGCTTGAAACGATACTCAGTAGGATCAATGTTCAAAATCTTTGGCTTCGCATATCTGTCCAAGCAGTACATAGTACGTCCTGTTACCCTGACGAGGTAGACTGTTTGATCCAGGGTGCGGACGATGCCATTATCTCCGTTCAATAAGGTGTATTTGATGTGGTTCAATGTCGAGTAAAGAAGGACGCCTGCATCATCCCAGGTTGCACTCTTGATGCGTATGGTTTCGTGAAGGGCGCTAATTTGTTCTAAGGATTTCGAAACAATCGTGACGTTATGTTTGCTCAAAAGAGCTGCGTATAAACCATCGTTAGACCAGACGACATACTTGACACCCGAGACAGCAAGTTCAGCAGTGGTTTTCATTTGCTGAATGTCATATAGATGAACAGCGGTGGCTGTGATCAACAAAACATTACCAGTTCCACCAAAGTAGATATCGGTGGTTCCATTTGGAGGCTTAATGGTCTCAGTGGTAGTGTTTGCGAGATCTTTGATATCAACCTGCTGAGTTGTAGCATTGAAGACGGCGAATCTATTTCGCGCTACAAAAACTGCAGAATTACCTTGGCCTCGCTTAGTGTCATTTGAGTCCATTGAACCAGCTCCATCTCGAGGGAGATTGATTAGTTCATATGAACCGCCATCTGCAGGAGAAGTAACCAAGATAGCTCGTTCCGCTGGGTTGTATGAGAGTGATCTAGGTGGAACCCAAGGGCTACCGAGTTTCTTTAGAGTCAAGAGTGTTGGACTTTCGATGTTCTTTTGGAAGTCATAAGATTTGACATGCTTGTCCTTAGTGATATAAAAGAGATTGTTCTGATAAAAGGCAGAAGCTGGGCGTTCTCGCTCAAGCTTGAATACCATGACACCATTATCGTGGCCAGCAGCGAAAAGGTTTATCTCAGGATGAGCTGCAATGACCCAAAACCTATCATTCTCCCGCTTGAATGATTGCACTGATGTGCGTTTATTGAGATCCCAAACTCGGATAGTTTTGTCTTCGCCGACTGACAAGATCAGGTCCTGATGAGGGTGAAATAAGCATCCTGATGCATTTTGAAAGTGTCCCCGGCAGGTATCGACTTCCCACGCTTTCGTTTCGCTCATTCGCCATAATTTCACCAGTCGATCATCACCAGCAGATACAATCAGCGGTAATGTTGGATGGAAAGCTACCCAATTGACACCTCTGTCGTGACCTTCGAGCACGAATTTGACCACAGCGTCGGTGTTTCCAAACATATCCGCCTGAGCCTGGTTCCCTCTCGACATTTGGTCCTCGAAGGTCATCGATGTTGGCGCCGAATGCTTCTTTCGCAAGCCAGAAATATCCCAAACTCGAACCGACTGATCAAGGGATGCAGATACTACCAAGTCGTCTTTCGGATGGAACTGAGCGCACATTGTATAATGATTGTGACCAGTCATTGTGCAAACTGAAAATCATATTAGCACCGTATACGTATACATTATTGAGCTATTTTGAGCTTACTTAGAGAGCGATTTTGCCAATTCCATATCCTAATAGTTTGATCATCTGAACTGGAGATGATCCAAGGAAGCTCATGATGAAAGAAAACTGTGCGAACATAATCCAAATGACCATTCAAGGTAAATAGACATCTGCGAGTTTGCAACGACCAGACCTTAATTTTGTAATCATCTCCTCCCGAGACAAAGAGGGGTTGTGTTTTGTGAAAGTCAATTCCTCGAACTGGTCCATCGTGCTCCTCAAATCTATCAATCAATGTTCCCATACGATAATCCCACAACTGAATGGTCGAAGAATGTAAAGAAACTAGAATCCATGGTCTATGATAATAGTTAGGTATAGTTGTTGCGCATTGTATTTGTGGACGAACCGTTTAGGATGGAAAGCAATGCCCTTTGCTCTGGATGATTTTGATTCGAACTTATGTGTATGTCAGTACTATATTCCTCATAACTGAATATCTTGAGAAAAGGGCATGAAGTCGCGACATACCTTCGTCAGCATCGTAGGGGAGGAACTGGAATTGGAACTGGAATTGGAATTGGATGCCATATTGACCGATGCTTTGATTGACAAACAGGCCGATACGTTGCGCATCAAATACCTGGGGCAAATTAATTGTCTTCTCCTAATGTGTCACTTTTCTAAAGAAATAGTAGTGCACAGTATTTGAAGAAAAACGTAAGAAGACAAGGTATTTGGTGGTTCGAAATTAAAGTAAAGTACAGGAGGATCACTGGTATGTATGGGTCGAAGCGTGTGAAATGCGACGTTGCTGTTTCCCAAGATTAAGGCATCAATACACCAAACTGGTAAGGCTGCCACCTCAAATAACACCAAAGCTTCACCAGCCACCAACCACCAAACACCAGCCACAGGAGCTTGAAAGGGTCCCCTGAAGTTGGAGTACCCGGTAGCTCTAGATTGTGAAAATCTGTCCCTTGCGATAAGATCTCAATTCTGGTCAGCCTTGTGTTGTATTATACCGGTACTTTGCGAGTTAGGGAAGATATTTTAGTGATTTATGTCTCTAATATTTACGCTGCACATGTCTCAAATTCAATCATACCTCACAAAGTTGATTCTGTCTTGATCCGCCGGCGGATAATAGCTTCAAGGATTTGTTCGTCGTCATTAGCCTTATCTCTAGCTTAAAGAAGCTCCCCTGTGAAAGACGAGACGTCTAGGAACTGTTCTAATACCCCACGGAAGTGTATATAACTTCGCAGTCAAGATGGGAGGCTTCAATTTGCCATGGGGACTCTCAGGAGCCCTACTGGCATCTACGTATCTCCATTCCATATGTGTCACTGCTAGCCCATCCATCAATGTTGGCTTGCAAACATCATTCCCCTCAGCCCCATACCTCCTTGAACTACTGTATGTTCAAAACTCCTCAACATGCTTTCCAGGCAATACTGATGTATATGTAGAGAAACGGCAGCCACCGAGAATGCTTCCTCTTACTTCCCTCTTCTTGACCGAATTGCAGACGATTATTTTAGCAAAGCTACTACCGATAAAGACCTATATGACAGATTTATGCAGATTCTTAATGAAGATGGGCATATGGATGCTGAGGCTCTTTCATCATACCAGCTTGCGTTGTCTATGAGAGTGGCTGCACCTCGTATTGAAGCACAATTTCAATATTACCACACTGCTGTAGAGGCTTCAGTGAAATCGGAGAAAGATTCATCATGTCCAACATGGGTGCTCTTCGATGGGTATCAATATTGTTCACCATCATTAGATGAGCCTCATGGGGTGGTCACTGGCGATTCGTGAGTTTTGCAAGGTCTCGTGGAAGCATAAAGGGGCTAATCATTAGTATATAGACAAACGCAAGAACTACCATTCGATTATGTGCTGGGAAATCCTACCGGACCCCATTCCATATTATATGCTGATATAACATCCTCAACATTTGGTCAGTTCCACAAGACGTTGGCGAAAACTGCCCGTGAAAGTAAAACATCTTACCGTCTCCGTCATCGGCGAGCGATCGATTCTGACCCGAAGAAGCCTCTCATGATTCCGGGCTACGGTGTAGAACTCGCTCTTAAAAGAACTGACTACATTGTGATTGACGACCGCAAAGATGATGACGAGAAAGCACCTCCATCTAACACCGAGACTAAAGTCAAGTTTGAAGATGAAGAAGTAGCGGATCTCAAGCCCCTCTCGACATCAGAGCTCTCTTCTCTTGGCCTCAAGGCATCCAGTTTCATTATGCAGAGTGATAAACCGTTTGACTCCCTTATCAAACTTTCACAAGATTTCCCAAAACATTCTAGTGCTATAGCATCCCACAACGTTTCTTCCGACTTTCTTGCGGAGCATAATTACAACCGTGGCAAACTAGTCCCCGCGGGCTTCAATATATGGTGGATGAACGGTGTGCAGATGATTGACCGTCAAATTGATGCTATAAGTATGCTCGATATTTTGCGCAAGGAAAGAAGATTGATAAATGGCGTCCGCGATCTTGGTTTCACAGGACCTGAGGCTGTCCAGTTACTTTCTCATTCAGATATTTCCGGGGCAAAGAGTGATGGAGACGTTCAAAGATTTGATTGGAGAGATGAAATCGAGGGCGGCAGTGTTATTATGTGGTTGAATGACATCGAGAAGGATAAACGCTACGCGGACTTCCCTGCAACTCTTGGTGCTTTACTACAAAGAACATACCCTGGCCAGCTACCTTCAGTCCGCAAGGAAATCTTCAACTTGGTTATACCAATAGATTTCAGCGTGCTGGAAGATATCACTCTCGTTGCTGAAACCTTAGCAAATTTCGTCAAACGGAAGCTGGTCCTTCATATTGGGCTTGTCCCCATCACGACATCTCCAGCCGCTTCAGAGCAAGCAAAAGTCTTATACCATCTTCTAGATGTTTACGGGCTCTCTGGAGCTATTGCCTATCTTGAGGCTTCCGTCACAAATGGAGCTGCCAGCCCCGCCGAAAAGGTTTTCGAGGCCGCTAATGAGGGACGGGAGGTTCGAGCTGGAAAAGTAGCCATTCCTCTGAAAGATTTACTGAAATCTGACCATTCCAATGATCGGATTGACGCATCTAGCCGTTGGACCTCAAGACTCTCCGCAAATGGCGATTTTCCACCAATATTTGTGAATGGAGTCGCACTTTCAAGAGACGAAAATTGGCTACAAGCAATGGTTCAGCGCCTTACTGCTGATCTGCAAATTATTCAGCAGGGTGTCTTCAACGAAATCTTTACGCAGGATTCCTATATTCCGGAGTTCTTCCTCTCTCAAGCGACGGCACGAAGGAACGCCCTTATAGTTCCAGAAAGTGATAAAAATCTCAAAATAATTGATATCACTACTATTTCGAAGAAACATGGTGATGTGCTCATCAGGTTGCCAAAGATTGGAGTAGATCTTACATCGCCCAAGGAAGATTGGGCTCATATGGTTTTGATAGCGGACTTATCGTCCGTTTCGGGGCTGGACCTCCTTTTGTCTGCGGCTAAGTTTCGGGAGTCTGTCCCAGCCCTTGAAATCACTATCATACATAATCCTTCTAGTGAGAAGGAAACATCTGATTTCAGCACGCATTTGTTTTCACATATAAACAAGAGGTCCGACGAAGCATCGGTGGACGCGCAGGATTTATTTAGTCTGGTGAGCCCTGAGGGACTTGAACTGGATCACACGACTAAAGAATCCGCACAAACTTATTGGAAGATGGCCATTCCATTGATCCGATCCGTAGCTTTATCGCCAGGTGAAAACGGCATTTTGCTCAATGGAAGGTTTGTTGGGCCAATACCTGTTGGATCCGAGCTTAATCAAGAAGACTTTCAGCAGTTACTCTCCTATGAACGTACGAAACGTATAGCTCCGGTTTATGCTGCTTTGAAAGTTCTCGGTTTGTCAGATAATATTGCCGATCCTTTGGCAGGTGCCAAGATTTCTTCGATAGTGGCTCTATCATCTGTATCAGATACACCTGATGGCATATTTGAGCAGGCTCCAACTAACAGAATCAGTACATTTGACATTTGGAACTCTTCTTATACAGTGATTGAAGCTGGAGATGCATTAACTGCAACTATACACATGACTGTCGTTATCGATCCGGTCAGTGAGCAGGGTCAAAAGTGGGTTCCCATCGTGAAGGCCATCTCCGAGCTTGAAGGAGTGTATCTTAAGATGTTTTTGAATCCAAAAGAACGTCTTCAAGAACTTCCAATCAAGAGGTTTTATAGATATGTTCTAGAGTCAAAGCCCACTTTCGATGATGAAGGTGCTTTAGTTGCGCCTGGCGCCTCGTTCACCGGTGTACCACAGGAAGCGTTGTTAACTGTCAAACTGGATATACCACCAGCATGGCTAGTGGCCCCTAAAGTTTCCATTCAAGATCCGGACAACATTAAGCTCAGCTCTATCAAGTCTGATGTAGACGCGTTGTATGAGCTTGAGCATATTCTTATCGAAGGTCACTCCCGCGACATGCCATCTGGCAGTCCCCCACGCGGAGCACAGCTCATCCTAGGAACAGAGAAAGACTCACATTTTGCCGATACCATCATTATGTCTAATCTTGGGTACTTCCAGTTCAAAGCAAATCCGGGATTTTACAAAATTGATCTACAGAGGGGAAGGAGCTCTGAAATCTTCAAAATAGACAGTATAGGCTCAAAAGGATGGGCGCCAGTTCCTGGCGATGAGTCCACGGAAGTTGTTCTCATGAGCTTCCAAGGAGCGACTTTATATCCTCGCCTTTCTCGCAAGCCGGGTATGGAGGGTGAAGATGTCCTCGAAGCAAAGATCGACTCACCAATGGATTACGTATCCCGTGGACTCAATTTTGCGCAAGGTATCTTGGGTAGCAAGGCGAAAGCTGATACTGGAGTGGAAGAACAAGCGGACATAAATATCTTCTCCGTTGCTAGCGGTCACCTTTATGAGCGTATGCTGAACATTATGATGGTTAGTGTTATGAAGAACACGAAGCATACAGTGAAATTTTGGTTCATTGAGCAATTCCTTTCTCCATCTTTCAAGGATTTCATTCCTCATCTTGCCACTGAATACGGCTTCAAGTATGAGATGGTAACATACAAATGGCCTCACTGGCTCCGAGGACAAACGGAAAAGCAACGTGAGATCTGGGGCTACAAGATTCTATTTTTGGATGTCCTTTTCCCATTATCCCTCGACAAAGTTATTTTCGTGGACGCCGACCAGATCGTCCGCACGGATATGATCGAACTCGTAAACCATGATCTCCAAGGCGCACCATATGGCTTCACTCCCATGTGCGACAGCCGCACTGAAATGGAGGGTTTCCGTTTCTGGAAACAAGGCTATTGGGAGAAATTCCTTCGTGGTCTACCATACCATATCAGTGCCCTATACGTTGTGGATCTCCGCCGGTTTCGCCAAATCGCTGCCGGAGACCGTCTTCGCCAACAATACCAATCCCTTTCCGCAGACCCAAATAGTTTGTCAAACTTGGATCAGGATTTACCAAATCATATGCAACAGGTTCTCCCTATCCATAGTCTGCCACAAGAATGGCTTTGGTGCGAAACCTGGTGCAGTGATGAGAGTCTTAAGGAAGCGAGAACGATTGATTTGTGTAATAACCCCTTGACGAAAGAACCGAAATTGGATAGGGCACGGAGACAGGTGCCGGAGTGGACTGTTTATGATGATGAGATTGCGGCGGTGGATAGGAAGAGGAAGGGTGCGAATGGGTATGGAACTGATGATGGCAATGGAGATGCTAAAAATACAAAGAGTAGAACATTGGAGGAAATGGTGAATACAAAGACAAAGAAAGATGAGTTGTAGATAAGTCATGAATCTTAGAGTGTGAATATTTATATAATTATAGCATTGTACTTGATCTTTCTTGATGTTTTTGTTTGTTGGCTTGTTGGCTTGCTTGCTTCAATGTTCTTGATCTTTACAAACTACTTCTGCCTGGGGGTAGTAATAGTTGCAAACTCATCCATGGCTTGAGATGTTTGATGTTTGATGTTTGTTTTTGTTTCTGTCTCTTTTATGATTGCATGATTTGTTTTATCAACTGAAAGAAGATGCTGTTCTGTTCTGTTGTGTTGTGTATGAAATATATTTTGTATTTCGCAAACACAAGACCGCATTCATATTAAATCTGTCTCCCCATCATAATAGTATCTCTTTGATCCCCTGCATACACTACTTCTTTCATCCTATAGTATATCATGGCAAATTTCGATTATGTGATTGACTTTGTCCACAGCATTGGTAACAAAACCTCTGAGTATGTCCAATCACTTCGAAATCAGAGAACCAATTTACAATCTTTCATATACAGGTATATGACGTTTTGAGAAAGTTTCAATCTTGAATTCACTCACCCTCGGAGATGAGAATATTGAATGTCAGTCAGGTACAACTCTCTCATAGGGTGCCAGTGCCATTAGAGGTGGTCAATGTTATCTCGGCTATTTTAGCGTCGAATGGAGGACTACAGTAAATAAACTACTACTTAAGTCTCTTGGGGTATTTACACTACTTGGATCTTACAATCTTGATTTAAAGTTACTGTAACTAATACTACTTTTACTTCGCAAACTTTCCGATACATATCTCCTTTTTTGATCAACTGGAAGACATTTATTTGATTAATACCACTTTTACTTCTTCAATATCCAAGACAAACTCCACAAGAAGCATCCTCGAACTTCAAAATGTCCATACAATCCTTCTTTGTAAGGACCTTCTTTTTCTTCTATCTATTTCAAAGAGCTCGTTGTGTTCTCTTGGCTAACTTTACGTAAATAGCCTTTCAATCAGGATCATCCTAATTTCCCTGCGGAATTAAGGAAAACACCCAAAGAGATACAACAAATGATCCGATCCCCATTCTGCAAGATTCTAGAGTGAACCACACTAATATGTTCAGTAAAGGGACTCGCATAGCTTTCAATGGAATTTTCCGCCATGAGAACAAGGACTTCCGTCTGGTCGAGAATATGGATCAAACGATCCTTCGCGAATTATTTTTCGATATCTGTCACAGCTCCAATCCTTCAGAGCACGCAGATATCACACCTGCAGTCCGGGGCGTTCGCGATGCGCGCAAATTCTTCTTCGTCAGCTGCAACTATCATGATCCCGAGTACGTTATTGTTTGTATATATTCCAAGTTAAGGGACTTTGATTGGAATAATCAGGCGAGTATCAATAATCTTAATACTTTCAGAAAAGCGGCCATTACGGAGGCTTGCGGTGTCTTCGCTTTTGGCGGAGATGGTAAACCTCTCACTGCAGATGAAGTGGAAGCAATACTTGATGCAAGACGTCCCAAGAAACAAAACACGGGGGAGTCGATGGTAACTGGTACCACAAATGCTCCAGACAAAGAAGGGCAGGATGATGGAGAGGTTTCGACTAGTTCTGAGATGCAAGGCGAGACTATAGCTGTGAATCCTGTTCAGCCTGTTACCCAAATATTCCAACCTCAACCTGCTGCACAACTATTCCAGTTTCAGTTTACTGTATAACTGTTTGTGCCAATTATATCTATTGCAAAACTACGACAGTATACTCCACACCCATGGGAACGTGCGGCACAGCCTCAACACTATGGAGCATATGCTCAAAATGGGCCCCAACAGGTTATAGCCCATCCCAGAACCAAGGATACGCTGCCCCTCGACTTGGTCAGCAAGGCTACAGCCAGTTTGCAGTTCCTCTGCAGGCTCAATCAAGTCACAACCAATTGCAGAACCAAGGGTATGGGATGTATCAACAACGTAGTAACCAGACGAGCATCAGTACTTTCCAGACCCAAGGATACGGAATGCATCGACAACATGGTTACCAGGCCAGCTTTAATCCTTTACAGACCCAAGGATACGGGATGTCTCAGCTTGGTCAACAAAATTCCAACTAGTTCCAGAATCGTGGGTACGGATTTCCTCAGCAGGTTCAGCAAAATCGTTACCAGTTTCAGAACCAAGGCTTTGCAGGCTTTCAACAATGTGGACAGCAAAGCCACAGTCAATATATAATCCTATATTATAATCAACCTGTATACAATCAATGTCAGCAGGGCGGTAATGTCGGAACCGATGCCGGAGAAGTGGCTTCTCGAAATACTTCGAATGTACCTTCCCATCAGAATCATCAGGGTGCTAGTGTCGAGGCCGATGATGGAGATGTAGCTCCTCAAGGCAATCCGAATACGATGACAAGACAAGAGTTGGCAGATGCCTTCCAAGAACCTGACCTGACTTTTGAGGACTCGATGGGTCTATAATGTTGATTATATAACACTTAAGAGATGTTATGGCTATTTTTGGAGGATTTTGCGTAATGTATGACAAGGCTTTGTTTCTGGGACCAGTGAAGGTCGATGATGGAGGCTTAGGGGAGTAGACATAAGACTCTGATCTGTTCTTTTATCTCCTATTTTCTGCGGACGAGGTTCACCTTTTCTTTTTTGCTCCTGTCTGTTGAGCGATGGATTCTCTCTGGGTTAGGAAGGCGTGAGGATTTGATGGTGGTTGCAATAGTCTCAAAACTGAAGTGTCTTTGTAGCAGATTGGGGGAGGAGTACTATATCACAATGCGCAATTAATTATCTAACCCAGCTTCCTGGCTTGGTGTATACTTACAGAAATAGTGACATGAGTGTATTGTGTTGTGCAAAAGTTTCATGACTGGGAAGATTCCATATTGCTTATAAGAGAGAACCTTGAAGTTTCGTAAAGCAGAACAACGGAACTCATGGATCTTTTTTTCCCTAGATGAAGCTAGGTTTCTCCATGGTCATAACATCTTACGCGGTTAATACTTCCCTTTGTGGTCATATGTATCGGGATACCTGAAGAAATAATTTGTAGATGCCAATTGCTCTAGAAGTTTCAAGCGCTGTTGGTGAGCCATACTCGGCTCGAAGCGACGTCACGTGATCGAGAAAAGTCGCGTAAATCGATTCCTCTCTGTTCTTCCTTTGCTCGTTCTATACCTAATCGTCGCATACAAAAACACAGGAGCGTATAAATCCAAGGAAAACCTTCGAACCTCCTTTCCTATCATACTTCTTTTGCAACAATACTTCAAGGGTTACAGTACAAAGTTAAATCGACGCCATACTAGCACAGTGTGCTTTGCAAGATAAGGTGTACGGTTGATGCGACCAGAGGTTGCTGTCGTTTCAGCTTGACCTATCCTAGTATCCTGGCCAGTCGGTCTATTTTGGCTTATAGAAAAGTATTTCTCGAGAGAAGAGGACACAGACTCCCAGAAGATCGGTCAGTTGTTTAAAACTTTTGTGTGTTTCTGCTTCTGCTTTTATTGTATCCAGCTTGGCTTACTAATATTCTTAAGAAGACAGCAGCTCACTCCGACCGGAAATTGATTTTTATTAAGTCACTGCACGGCAAGAAGGATCGGATTCAACTTATAGTATCGAGGCGTTGATAAGTTTGGCAGGTTTCGGTCGTCCAGCGTACAATACTGGCCAACTCAGTACTCGCAAATATACCTAAGTTTATCGTCTATCAGTACCAAGGCGATAAAGTACTTATTCAACATCAATCCATTTACCTTGCACGCCTATCTCACGTACCATTTTACTAGAATATTTATACTGGTAGATTCACCAGTAGATTGAAGAGTAAGCACACTCAACATACTGTTAGATTGCTGTTTTACATTCTGATCTTGCCGTCAAAGACCTCTAAGACCTTTTTCGGTCTCAGTAGTCGATATTCTCGTTCAGGAGCCTATCGATCTTTACGAAATCAGGATGGATGATTTGATGGTAATTAGCCTTTTTTACCTAAATTAGCTAGCATATAGAACATGCCATTTGTTGTTAAGATAAACACTGACTAACATAACTAGTGCCTCCTTTCTGGTCCCTTCCACGTCTCCCATAATCAAATCCCTCATCCCACAACCTTGACAATTGAGCAGAGGAAAGATATCACTCCAGCTATCTTAGGTAACTCTGAGCCGCATAAATTCATTCACCTCCATTTCAAATACGCAGGACATGCAAAATCCAAACATATCATCATGCACCAATACATAGATTATGCCACCCACAATTGGTATCGTCAAGCTGACATTGATAAATTAAATATGTTCCGAATTGCTGCCTGCGCAATGCACTTTGGTGTCGATATCTACAAGGGAGAGCGGCGTTATAGATATCTCACGAAGGCGGAGAGAGCGGAATGGTTCCCAGGACTTCAGGAGTTTGCTGGTGAGGTTCGTGAGAATGCAGTCCAAGCAGAGGAAGAACTCGAAAAAGAAGCCCAAGAAGAAGCCCAAGAAGAAGCCGAAGAAGAAGCCGAAGACGAAGATGAACCCGATGAAGCCAATGAAGCCAATGAAGCCAATGAAGAAAGTTATGAAACCGATTCTCAGAATGAGGGAAATGAAAATTATGGTGTGGGATATACTGCTACTGAGCGACGTGATTCCGACACCCAGGCCCTCACCCAATCGCTCCAGATGCTTCGCACTACAGCAGACCCTGTTTCCCAAGAAGGATGGGCATAGTGGAGATTGAAGTGTATTGTCCGAGGTTTGAGCGACCGGCTACATCAGCTGCAGCCTGCAGTGGGAGACAATACATCGTGAGTGTATATAAGTTGAGGAACTTCGCTTCAAATTCATGCTGACATGTCTCCCTCTACAGAACAATAAACTTTTGCGCTTTTCAAGTTATGGTGGCTGAGGGATCTTTGGTCTTGAGTAAAGTTTGGGGGATATTTCGGTTTTTTCATGGCCCAACAGTTCCGATCCTCGTCCAACGGCACAACGTCCTGATATCCAACATGCGATTTTCACAGATGGTGCTTACATTTTCCACATTTTCACTTGACACTGCAATCTTTCAGTAAGTTATTCATAGCCATTGCGATCGATAGTATAGTATGGCTAAAAGATTTCAGTTTACTCGATTTTACTCATGGCGAAACTGGGATATTTAAATACTTGCGGTGGGATGACAAGAGAATGTGTTCATTATAGTTGGCCTCCAGCTATTACTTTCTCTTCACTTCACTTCTTTTCATTTCTTTTCTTTTCTTTTTCTTTCTTTTCTGGATCTGTGTCAATACTCTTTTATGGATTTCGCTACCGAACAATGCGTTGATCGCAAATACGGATTCGCTCATCATGCACTTCATGGTCCTTCCACTGAATATGCTGTTGAAGGAACACTATGTCCTCATTACAAGATTGGTTAATCATCTGGTTGGCTATTTTACATTGGTGGTCATTTTCGTTGGTGGGATTAGATCTACAGCTCAGGAATTCAAAATCGTTAAATCAAATAAATGTATGCAAATGACTGGTGACTTATTTCATTAATACAGTTTAAGAGACCCATGATTTTATTGGCTGTATGTACATAGCTCTTACTCATATAGAGACTTAAATATTGAGGAATAAATCTAAGGCATTGCTCTATTCCTGTACTATTCTGCACCTTTTCTGTACACCTTTGAAGGCTGCCAAGTTATAAAGTAATTGCATTTGTAGAATTTTAGAGAAACGTCCTCACGTAGGGACTTTATTTTTTCAATAAATCATTTCAAGAGAACAAGAACAAAAACAACAACAACTCTTTTAATTATAATGCTACATAAGTAACTAGTCATTTTAACGCCATCTAGTGGAAATACATCATATCTAAAACCCTTAAACAGCAGGACCTCTACCAATCCAAATATGGTAGCTCTTAAAAGGGCCTTGTCGCTTATCAACATTATTATACTGTCTTCCAAGAGCAAGTTCCTGTGGATTGGTGGTAAGATACAGCCATCCATCCAAAATAGCCATCGTATTCGCAGCCTGAATTTTGCCACTGCGAGCCAGAGTCTGGAGATTATGCCTCGCAGCTGTACCAGGCCAGAATTACCGGCAGGAAAGCCATTGATCTCATCGGTAACTTCATATTGAATGAGTATCGAAGTACGGGATTGCGTTTTGCTGTTGATTGTTATATAGTAGTTTGAGAAAGATAACCGAATGAAAGATTTGATTACATGCAGCGAGAGCACAAATCATACGCGGCCTCCATCATTAACTGTAAACCCGGCTTGCTCGACAGGAAAGTTTGCAGGATTCTGAATCACAGCTCCTATTTCTGCATCGGTCACGTTGGAGATAAAGAATTCCTGAGTTGCAAAGTACCGGTGATTGGAATGGAAGCATTGCCGCCCCAGTAGGTAGTGCCTCCGGTCAACGCAATGTCGTTAATCTCCGAGTTTAGGTATGAAGATGTGGTGCCGACCCGATTTCTGATGACTTCGCCGTTGTACATGGAATTGAAGTATGGATCGAGTTTGGTGAAGGTGATGTCGAAATGATGTCTAATCGTGACTTCCGTATCGATATTGATGCTGGAGATGGAGCCATATGCTGAGGCTTCGGTGGTGAAAGCATACCTAGCGCTTCCGAGAGTGTAGTTGACTCGAATATATTTTGATTGGATCTTGACGTAGTATAGCTTCCGAGGATAGATACAGTAGTGTAGCTGAATGGCATGGTTTCAGCCCCGTAGGTTACTGGAAAGGAACTATTAGACATTCAGAAGAAGCCTGATATCCCGGATCTTGGTTGATAGGCAAGGAAACTGAAAAATAGGCCAATTTATAACTGTCGTTCAATTAGGAACCCCGCCATCAATAATCCAAAACACACCATCCGTATCCAAGATCAAGTTCTGAACCTTAACAAGGCACACCGAAGCATTTTAGCCCGTCGCACAGATTTCCATTTCTGCAGACGGTCAAGGAGCCTCACTATTGAAGCCTGTGGCTTTCGTAAGGTTCCAGTCCTGCAGTTACATGGTCCGCGCATATGCGAATGAATAGATTGGCATCCAAGTCTACAGCCAGACCCGTGGGAGCGCACACATATTATGGACTCCTTGCAACTCGACTCCGATGACATCTAAACCGGCAGATCATAGGCCATAGTAGTGAGGGTTTTGCGTTGCTTTGATAGTGGTATTGGACATGTTTCGTGTGACGCATTTCTGTGTCTCGGTCCCTCACATGCCAATATACTCAGACCAAGATTCTAGCCCCCGCAGTCGCCTATCAAGTCTCAATCATCCGTCATTTAATTCTCTCTACTACTTGTACCAAGACCATCTGTACCGGCTCTCGAGGCAATCTAATAAATATTTTACGCACCAACCATCGAGCGACACTTCATTCACTATGTTGACTGCTCTGCTGCTGCGCATGAAAACGAGTCCACAAGCGTCCACTTCAATGAAAGCTAGCTGAGGTTTAGACTTGAGATTCTTGAACTCACTGTTAGCATGGGTCACCATGGTCTCGGTATTGGATTTTTATAAGCCGGTTCTGGCGGATAATGAGATGTGGAGTTAGCTGGTGAGGCAGATGTGGGAGGTATCGAGAGGCTGAGGTACCAGAGAAGCTTCTAGGAGATATTAATCACTTTGCTGCTTGTATGGTCAAATCAGATTAATTACATCGATTTTCATTTACCCTGTAGGCAATTCAAGTAAGTATAACTCAATAAATGGCTTCGCTGCCCTTATCAATCGAAAGTTCAGACTTCTTGCCAGTAGTATTCGGTGTCTTTGTACTTAACCCTCTACACATCTGAATGTCTATTTTGACTTAAGTAGTGCGAGGGAGGTAATTATCTTGGGCGCTAGCCTGCTAGTACTCGAGTAGCAGGCTGCTACATACTGAAGGTGGTCCGTGCAAATTAGAGGATTCCACTTATGAGCTAACTCATGTTGATAATAGAACTTCTTGATGGAATCAAGAGTTTTCTCTCTTCCCTTTCTTCGCAATTATTTGGGCTCATGAGAATTGTTCGTATTCATGGGTGAGTCTTAGAAGGTGACAGTTGAGGCTGTAGAACTTGACAACAATACATGTTCTTTGGTGTACAATGTTTACTGCCTTCTGTATCTGTACTAACTGTGACTGTAATAATTGTAATACTACTGTTTGGAGGAACCTAGATTAATAAGACTTAACCTTGTCTATCAATAACTTTAAACTAATTACTTTGCAGTATATGACCAATTATCGAATTATCAACCTGCAAGATATGTCATTCATGTCGATCTCACTGACCATTTCACAGCCTTTATATTGTCATTAGTAATAAGGCTGCAAGGTATTAGCTAGCGTTATTAAGTACTAGATGAATTAGTCTCATCTGAAATTTTATGAATCACAGCGACTTCCATAACTGCCTCAACCTTAGTAACTACAGCAATAAAATCTAATCTATCTAATGTCTACTCTGACTCATCTGTTACTATGGTTACATAATGTGATTAATTTCAGGTTGTATTAGTTTCCTACGGTCACTGTGAATAATGGATTGGATACCATGGTACATCATCGATGCCTACGGCAAGTTGGTCTAGCCTGAGATCACAACTGTACTTCTATTGTCTATTTAAAGTCTTCAATCTGCCACCTTTCAATCTGCCACCTTTCAACCTCCATCTCATTTACATCTTACAACTTATAAACCAGTTTACATCACGAAATTTACTTTGCAAAGACTTTCAGCAGACAAGACTGCTCGCCCTACTACATAGCAAAACACAACTCCACACAACACAATACTGAAATCTAGAGAAAGTCATCTTATCTAAAAAGATATCCCAAGCAAAGAACTCATCTCCAAAGACTATATTGTGAGTATCAACCACTTTCGTTCTACATCCTAGGAATCTCCCAGATTTCAGATGATCATTTTTGAGGCACAATTACTACAATACATCAAGTATTTCTTCAAGTGTCTCCGGTATTCCTTTGTACATACGCTACCTCCTCAAACATTACAATCAATTAATGACATTCACTAATGTGACCAGATAGTTCATTCAGATCAAAATGTCTGATCGCAAGGACTCAAAGTTTCCTCCAACAAAGGCTCCCCTTCCACCATTTGGCTCGCTAGGGAACCAAGGAAAGTCTGCTCTCCGCCGAGAGAACTTCCTGTGTAACATCGCGGATGCGATCGTACCCTCAGGTCTCTTCAACAACCACATGAATCACCGTCTCGATACCGCTTACAAGACAGGTGACTTCAAGAAGGCAGAGGTCGACGCCAAAGTTGAGGAGGATGATTGGGTCAACCTTACGGATAAGACCAACAAATCTGGCCCTGTCCAGATCACCCCTAGGGCTGCTAACTCACCCGAGCGCCCCAGTATGATGAACAGATCATCAACCAGCTCTGGCTTCGACAAGACGAAGCTCATGGCTAGATCTTTCAGTGATGCCAACGTTGCTTGGGCCATTACACGCGATACCGAACTGACACCTGCCGTAGTTGGTCAACCAGATAACTCGAAGTTTGTCCTTCGTCGATACGACATTCGCGATCCTACCAAGGTCGAAAAGAAGCGAATTGAGTTGAACATCGATAGGTTCGACTGGAATAATGAGGATCATGTTGGTAGGCTCAACAAGGCTCGCAGACATTGGGAGATGAATACTCTGGAGTCGAATCCCCAGACGAGCGGGAGATCTAGGTAAGTTTTGCATGATAGAAATTGGGATGACTTGATAGATGGCTGACTATGATCTTACAGGGCCACTGTTGACGGCAGACGCTCACCAATTGATACCTTTGTCGGAGGCTGGTCACCAGGAGAAGAAGAGGCTCACGATAACTAAGAGCTGAATTTCACACATCAAAGTCTAGAAACATGATGTGATAGAATGTCGGGGATGCATGTTAGGTTTTCGCGGTTGCAGGTTGATGGGAGATCAGGGATAGAGAGTGTGATCTGTTGGTTTGATGTGCACTGTTAGGTGTCAGTAAGGGATTGCGCAACTATTTGATAGTTTGATACCATGATTTGTGGCATTTGGCTAAACCTTTGCAGAGAGAAGTAGATTAAAAAAAATACAAGTTTCCCCGTAATACAAAATTGTTTTTGAAGTATATTGCCGCGGTGAATGTAATTATTTTTTGCGCTGTGTTCGCTAGTGATCAGTGATCAGTCTCTTTCCAATTCTAGCGCGCCTTATTGTACTTATATGTAGGTAGCCAGTCCAAAACGAAAGAAGTGTTTCTCGAAGAACGAAATAATGAAAAGTCTAGTCCTACAACTTCCAGTGGCACATAATTACAGGTAAAGTTTTCTACACTAATGAGTCAGAGGGTTCTGCTCCTAATGATAAGTACTGCTTGATCGTATTTCTCACTTCCTTATGTCTCTCAGCCTCATTAACTGCATGCGGTCACATAGTAAATTGTGTTTAAATGGTGTCCATCGTTATCACTTTAGTCGCACGCTGTACTCGAGTATATGAATGTCGTCACGTAATATAGTGATATCGCGTCAAAGCGCGTCACATCGATATAGGCCCTCCCCGCTCTCAAAGTGGGAACAGCCTCATACAACTTTGATACAATACATTTGAACCATATCAGGAATAGCCACATCACCACCGAGGTGATACCAACTACATATATTATTATAATGCTAATCTGCTTTACGTAAAGCGCCAACCCTAGTCAGAGGAATGTTAAATGTTATCACAATCACCTTCGTTAAACAACTCCTAACGACATTCCAACTTGCGACATCGACATAGTCGTCAAACTTAGCAACCATCGCAATGCCAACAGACGATCAAATGCCAGAAAGACGCCGAGAGCCGCACGTAACCCAGGGCCATCGAGAATCGTTGAACATTTTACACGAAATGTGCACGATTATGGTGTGTATACTGAATCCAAAACAACAAGAATCTCTGTTGACGTTAGCTATAGAATATTCATTTCACTCGCAGCCAGCTAGCAATATGCATATCGCTGATTGAAGATGGAGTCGATCCCGAGGCCTTAGTTGTATGTATATTCTACTCTGAGAAGCAACACTAGAAGAAGGCTAACACACAATCCACTCGTACAGACTGTGGCCAGGGTTTTGATGGATGAATATCCGAAGGAAGAAAAAGATTCTAATGGAGAGGGAGATATTGATGCGAAGTCGGTTCTGTGACACGTATGTTTTGTGGTGTTTGAGACAAGCAGAAGCACATCAAGTGGAAAATGAAGTTTTTTTCCGATCAGTCAATTGAGGGAGATCTAGATGATGAGGCCTAGCCATGTCTGTTATTATGTCTTCTGGCCTTATGTTCTCAATGTCAACATTGTAACGATTCGCTCGAGAAAGAGTGTCGTGCGGAGTGTCATCTTGGAGAAGAATTACTTGAATAGTGGGGTCGTTGGCCAGTAGGTTATCGTCTCAATATGAACTGCTGATACCACTTTTGGCGCGGTGCTACTTTCTGCAGCTAGAGACATCGTTAGTTTAGCTACCACCGCTGAAGGGATGTTAATATATAGGTACGTAGCTACTTGAGGCACAAGACATCTTATCGTGCCAATTCACCCGCAATCGACCAAGTCGAAAATGATTCGCTCGGCACTACAGGCATCAAAACAGCCCACCAAGATGCGTACTACTGCACACAACAACCAACACCATCAACACCAAGTTCAACTCAAGCGCCTTCCTCGATCGAGGATTCAGTTCACAGCCATGGGATCTCGATGGATTAACAACTCAGTGCAATCGCGAAAGCACCGCAAAGATACCCGATCGCGAATTCAATAATCTTCTCATGGAGATTGCTTCAGCAGGTCAAACGGATATTCTTTTTGAGCGTACAGTTGAAAGCGTTATAGCAAAAAAGCTTGCAGAATTCCGCTCGAGGTTTGAGGAACAGTCATTCGATCTGATGCTTTCTGGCCCCCAGCTTTTCGACGACGAATCTAAGCAATTCCCTTATCTATCAGCCCTCAATCAAACGCACATTATCTTCTATTTCGAGTCGTTCATCTCAATATGTCTCCCGGAGCCCTTAAATGGATTGAAGATAAATTAAGGGCGTCGCAAAGCCAAGTTCAAAACTTGTTGGGAAGCCTCGGCGGAGCGCGCGTATTCGAAAATTGCAAACTTCTTCCGAGTAACTAAGGCCTTATGTACATCCGGCCTTCTAACCGTCACTGGAGATCTGATTAAGTTGAAGACTGGTCGATCTCTTCTTCTCGATGAATTCTCCTGTCTAAATGCAAGTGTCAGAATTCGAAATTTAGAGCTTGAATATATCTTATATTATAATCTAAAGTTTGATATATAGACTATCTCTTTCAAAAAAGAAATCTAAATAACTTCAAAATTTATATTTATATTGAATATGTTGAAAGTCGTCAGTACAGCAGTGAATCTGGCTGACTAAGCATAGTTGCTTATTCCTAAAACTCTCCTCTTCTCTTCAATCCTTTAACTCAACAACCAAAATATCAAGAGATTAAAAAGTCACAACAAACTATTCCTTAAATGTATTATAATTTTCAACAGGTTATAAACCCAGCTGTGTATATCCACCAGTTAATCGGGACAATCAATACGATATCGATATCACCGATTTTGATGATTTTGAGAGTATTCAGACTTTATCCTATTTCGGTTGTACGATGTCGATGATACGAAGACTATCAATATTATCGATTGCAAGTCTGTAATTTATTCAAGTATTTAGAGTATTGATTTAATAAAACAAAACCCCTGCCTTGTTAAGTATTATAATAGGCACTTTGTAATCACAGTGTCACGGGTTCACTACCCGTTCCTAGCTAGCTCGGATGGATGCCTTAGGCATCCATCCACCATATAGTCGTCGTCGCTCCGTGCACCTCCTTCTCTCCTCATCGAATATTATATATCTTACCTAATACCCACCAGAACCTATACCAGCCCTGTAATAGTATATTCAACCCTTCAAAAGGTTCCACTACCAATCAGCCCAACCTTGATTCTTTTATCTTGCAAAAAACTTACGGGATTATTGTTTATTATATAATACAATTAATTATTTAACAAAAAGTGAATTTGAACAACTTCATTTTACAAAAACATTGATATTACAAATACCTTGATATTAATACAAATGTGACGGAACAGACGGCTCTCTTCCGCCCACTGGCTCATACTACATATGTAGTATGATATAACGGCTCTTTTGGACCTTCCTTTCACAGCTTAGAGCCCTAGCTCTATAGCTCTAGACCTAGGCATCTTACGCCTAGGACTCTTTCACCCTTTTGGGCCTAGCCCTTATGGCTCCCAATACCTGTATATATAGTCCTCCTTTTAGCATCCTATATAGCTCTTCACTTGTAGATTCTAAGTACACAATCGGAGTCCTGTTTATACCCTTTTGGTCACACTTAAGAACTTTGAACTTTGTTTTCATTTTATAATAAACGGTAAATACCTGGAATAGCCTCATTTTCAACTTTGATACCCCAACTAGCCTATGAAATCCCAAAAGCGACCTC